TCCCCTCCGCGTCATCGGAGGAGCGACCACGTTCGCTAGAGCCTCGGGAGGGACGGCCGAGCGGCGCGGCCGCAGTGACGTCAGAGGAGCGCCGACGCGATTGGCGGTCTGCAACGATAGTTCCGGCGGAAGCTGGGGCGGCCGCGCGGCTATTGGACCACCGGTGGTGCGGTCGCGGGTTGGTGACGTCACGCTCTTTCGCGGGAGAGCTTCGAACGGGAGTTTCGTGCAAGGCGAAGTGAAGTGTGTCGGGCTTACGGAGAGCGAAGGGGCCGGGGCCGGGGCGACCCGGCAGGGCCGTGCTTATTAGAGTCTTCGAAAGGTGACATGGGGCGTTTTGGTCGTTTGGGCCGGTCGTTTTTTTTTTTTTTAAACAGAATGTTCGTGATTCTTAAACTTTGAGGTCAGAACCCTGTAGGGGTTCAGGTTTGGGTGCGGAAAAATCCGCTTGTTCAAAAATAAAGGAACCGAAAGCATTTAGTCGTAGTTAACAAGAATGGTTTCTGCTGCCAGTACCGAGTTTGTGTGTGTTGGATGTACCTGCGTCTAGCTGCACGGTTCGTGTATGCTTAGGAGTGGGTTTATTTTCAAAAAATTTTTATTGGTTAATTAAGTAGTAGTATTTTTATTACCTTCAGTTTGCTACAAGGTATGTGTGCTTGCCACAGGGATACAGAGAGAGAGAGAGACAGAATGTGAGGAAGCAAGCCAACAGGCCTGGGAGTTGAGCCACAGGCAGCCACCTGGGAGTCCAGCACCTTCACCAGTCGGCTGCTGGCCCCACATACTGGGTATTTATGCCGGTCATACATAATTATCAAAAACATCCAGGTTCTGTGCTACCTTGAAAAACTTTTCTGGTTAATCTTAAATTTGGCACATGTGGGTTGACACCTGAATTGTCTCACAGATATGGACAGATGAATAACTTTAAATTTTTTCTCGTTTTTTTGCCTTAGAGGTGCATGGGCTGGCAGAGAGAGTACTGAGAAACCATTCTCCACAGGGGAGGAGAGGACCACCTGCAATCTCCTCGCCTCCATTCTGCTCCTGGGATTTGGGGCACATGGGTCAGGTGCCACTGGGAACTCCAGCTGTGGTCAGTCATGTGGGAGTCCAGCGTTGTAACCACTGGCCCCTTGTTGGCCGCAAGAATTTACATTTCTGACTGTTTCCCAGGTCTTCATTGTCCCGTGGGGTAGAGGGTCATGCCTTCTGCTCACCTTCAGGGAGTTTTACTGTTGAGTTCTAGGTTTGTCCATGACAGTTTTACGCCAGCAGTGATGGCTGCAGCACTGGTGCAGCAATGTTGAAACTGGAAACCCTTCTCTCCACAGAGGCTGTGATAAACACTGGTTACATAGTGACTGCTGATCTTACAGTAGAAACAATGTGGAAAGCACTGGTTACATAGTGACTCCTGATCTTACAGTAGAAACAATGTCAAAAGCCTTCCCTTCCCTTCCTTTGCAGAGTATAATAAACACTCACTGGTTACATAGTGACCTGCTGGTCTTATCATAGAAACAATATCAGAAGTCTTCTCTTTGCAGAGGTGCATAATGAATACTTACTGGGTCACATAGTGTCCTGTTGATCTTATAGTATAAACGGGGACTTTAAACACAAGGGGGCCACCTTGTGGTGATCACAGAGAGTCAGAACACATGAAATGAATTTGGGTTATAAGGAACTAGACACATGGAGGGCAGAAAGGTTTTCTAGTACTTACTTTGGCACCTGGAAAAATGTCTATGGACTACTCATTTATGTTCTTAGTTTCTCTTGGCAATTTTTTTTGTTTATTTTATTTTATTTATTATTATTATTGTTTTTAAAATTTGCTATATGGCACATGGTGTTCGCCAGAGAGAGACAGACAGACGGAGTGACAAATCATGCCGCCAGGTCCAGGACTCAACCAGGTTGGCCACGTAGGAGTCCAGTGCCTTAAAGACTCTGCCGCCTGCCGGCCCTACCTGGCAATTCTATTCCTAAGCTTCATGTCAATCTTTTAGGGTGTTTTCCATGAGAGATAATTTGATGATACCTGTTTCTCTTAGTATTTAAGGAGGAACTTGTGGATTTCTGTCCCCAGTCAAGAGTTTGTTGAGAAACATTATATTTTATACTTATTCTTTTCATCATTGTTGAATATTTTACATCACTTTTTATTTTAGGTGCTAGAAATAGTTAAATAACCAGCAACTATTTCCTGGACCTGACTGATTTATAACTTCACAGGAAACAATGGAAAGCCAAGAATTTGTTGTAAGTTGTACTAATTTTTGCTACCTCCTTCCTTCCTCCTTCATAACTATTTTTAAAAAATTACTTAACTTTATTATTATTTTCCAACTTGACAGGAGTGAGACAGAGAGAGGGAAAGTGAGAAAGCAAACCACTAGGTCTGGGATCTGAAGCAAAGTTGGCCGTGTGGGAGTCCAGCACCCCTAACTACCATGCCACCTGCTAGTCCTCCTCTTCATAACTATTTTGCTAGGGTTGCCAGATTTAGAAAAACCAAAGAAGAAGCAGTGTACCCCGTTAGATGAGTGTGGGTTTCAGATAGATGCCGAGCACTGCGTTAGTCCTTCACTCTCCTACTTTAAGTGGTGGCTCTTTCTCTTGCCTGTTATTTGTGTCTGTTGTGCAAAGTCCATTGTGACAAACTGTTGGGAAACTCAAGACCAGGAGACAGTTTTTTTCTGTAGAAGGGCTTTTTCATACTCAGGAGGCATTTTATTTTATTTATTAGTATTATTTTAATTTGCTATGGAACGTGTGTGCTGACCAGAGAGAGAATGTGAGAAAGCAGGCCGCCAGTCCAGGATTCAGACCGTAGTCAGCCCTGTGAGAGTCCAGCTCCTTAACCACCATGCCACCTGCTGGTTCCTTCCAACCCCCACAATGGGATTTTCAAGCTACTGGATCTGGGACTTGAGCCACAGAGTTAGCCATGGAGGATCTAGCCACCTCAGCCTCCAGTTCTACTGCCTGCTGGTTTTCTGTTTGTCTTTTAAAACAATCAATATTTTGTTGTTATTGTTATGATATCTGTGCTTCTATTTTAATGAAAGAGACCTTGAATGTTTTTTGTGTGTAGGAAATGTATATAAGATAGGTAACGTTGAATATATGTAAATAGAAACCATTTCCTTTGTATTTCTGGAAATAAGGTTCTGTATACTCACCAGAAAATGAAGAAGTCAAAAGTATGGCAAGATGGAATTCTGAAGATTGCTCACTCAGGAAACAAAGTAAGTGTACAGCCTGACCGCGGAGTCCATGGCAGCCAGGCCCTCACCCTCGAGTGCTGAGGGGACGGTGGACTGCAAATGCTAGAGGTGCTCATCAGTCGTGCTGTGAGAGCAGGAATTCCAAGTGGACCTCAGATCATGCTAACTTATAGGCTATGGACGTTCATAGCACTTCATTTGTTTTCATGTGTTTATTTTTTTTTGTAAAATATTTATTTAATTTTATTTATTCATTTTTTAATTTTAATTTGACTAGAGAGAAACAGAGAGAGAGAAAGTGAGAAAGCAAGCTGCCAGGTCCAGCACTTGAACTGTGGTTGGCCATGCGGAACTATGCAGTACCTTAACCGCCACGCCACCTGCAGGCCTCATTTGTTTTAATTTCTTTTTTAAAAACCTATCAGGATGGGAACCAGCAGTTAGCGTAATGGCTATGTCGCTGGACTCCCATGTAGTCGACCGTGGTTTGTGTCCTGGATCCGGTGGCTGAAAACTCACGCCGGTCACATGCGTGTGCGTGCCCAAGATCCCGAGAGGAGAATGGAGGAAAAGGGATTGTGGCGTGACCATCCCCCCTGGGGGGGTGATGTCTCACTTTCTGTCTCTATGTCTCTCTCTGTCTGTCTGGCGAGTGCACGCGCCCTATAGCAGAAACCTCTCCAAAAAAATAAAAACAACCCTATCAGGGCAGCAGGTGGCATGATGGTTAAAGGCACTTGACTCCCGCAGGACTGACAGCAGTTTGCGTCCCCTACCTGCAGCTCGCTTTCTCACTTTCTTTTCTTTTCTTTTATCTTGGGCAAGCACGCGCACATGCCCGGCGTGAGTTTAAGCAGCCGGGTCCAGGACTTGAACCACCATTGACTACATGGGAGTCCAGTGACATAGCCATTATGCTAACTGATGGTCCCATTGCTTTCTCACTTTATATCTCTCTCTCTTTCACTCTGTCCCTCTCTTGTCACATTAAAGTAAATAAATAAATAAAATTAAATAAAATACTTCTTTTTTTCTTTTTTTTTTTTAACACGTTTTTGCTGTAGGATGCGTGTGCTTGCCAGAAAGACAGAGATAGAGAGACAAAAAGCGGGAAATCTGATGGCCATGCCGCAGTCCCTTCTCCTCTATTCTCTTCTCAGGATGTTGGGCACACATGCACACATGCCTGGCGTGAATTTAAGCCACCGGGTCCGGGACTCAAAACAGAGTCTACTACTTGGGAGTCCAGTAACATAGCCATTTTGCCAACTGCTAGTCCTAATAAAATAATTTTTTTTAAAGAGGTTTTTGCCATAGGGCGCGTACGCTCGGCAGACAGACAGAGACAGAGAGACAAAGCAAGAAATCACCCCCCCAGGGGGGATAGCCACGCTGCAATCCCTTCTCCTTAACATTCTCTTCTTGGGATCTTGGGCATGCACACGCATGCTCCCTGTGTGAGTTTTAAGCCACCGGATCGGGGACGCGAACCGCTGGGATGGGAGTCCAGTGACATAGCCATTACGCTAACTGCTGGTCCCATAAAATAATTCTTTAAAAACAAAACAAAACATGTTCTATCAAAAACTTATGGGGCTAGCAGATTGCACCAAGGTTTAGGCAACTGGATCCCATATGGCCGACTACATGGTTCAAGTCCTAGAATTGGCTGCTGTTGGGTGTGTGTGCATGTGTGCCCAAGATCCTGGAAGGAGCGTGGAAGAGAGGGGTTCACGATGTGCCATCCCTCTCCAGGGGATGATCTCTCACTCCCCATCTCTGTCTATTTCAAGTGTATTTACCCAATAGCTAAACAGGAGAAAAAATGCTTACCACATTTCAGGCATGATGTTTTATTTTATTTTATTATTCAAAAAGCAATTTTAAAAAGTTACTTATTTTTTATTACTATTGTCATTTAAAAATTTTTGCTATAGTGTTGCAGAAAACCAGACTCCGAGAAATGGAAAATAGCGCTTGGAGAAATAAGAACTGTCTATTATGTTGGCAAGCACCGAGGAGTTAACGCTCTGAACCTCCGGTCCCAACTGGGGGTTGGACATGGTCTTTTATGGGGGAATTGGAGAGGGAGTGGTCTTAGATGTTAGGAATGGGGAAGAGGCTCAGACCTGTCCTAGAATGGAGGTGGCAGAGAAGCAGGAAGTCCAAACTCTTCAAGGTTCTAGGTTACCCTGTCGCTCTGGGGACGGGCAGTAAATTTGGGGGGCACAGAAACCTCAGGCAGCTATCAGTCCTGATTTATTCATGAATTCAGGGTCTCTCCATATCAGTAGGACATATACTCTTGCCAGAGAGAGACAGAGAGGGAAAGTGACCTGAAAGCATGTTACTAGGCCCGGGATTTGAATTACTGTCGGCCATGTGAAAGTCCAGCACCTTAACCACCACACCACCACACCACGCCTCTTATTTTGTAATTAAAAAAAAATTTACCAGGGTCAACAGATGACAGCACTTAAGTCTCTGGAAGCCTGCATGGGTGACCACGGTTTGCAACTCAGATCCAGTGGCTTGAAGATCACACCAGGTGTTTTGTGTGTGTGCGCTCAGGATCCCAGGAAGAGAATGGAGGAGAAGGGATTATGGCATGGCCATGCTCCCTGAAGGATGATTTCTCATTTTCCCTTTCAGTGTCTCTCTCTCTCTCTCTCTGGCAAGCACACACAACCCTAAGGCAAAAACCTCTTTGAAAAATTTGCCAAAGGGTGACGGCACTTGTTGGAGAGAGACAAAAGAGTGAAAAAGCATCCCCATCGGGGATGGCCATGCTACAATTCCTTCTCCATTTCTTCCTCTTGTTGGGATTTTGGGCATGCACGCACATACACCTAGTATGTTATCAAGTTGCTAGGTTTAGGACTTGGACTGAACAGTCAGCCATGTGGGATTCAGCCACTTGACCCTTCATGCTGTCTGCTGACTTTGTATTCCTTTTATTGCTGAATAATCCATTGCATAGATTTCTCATGTCTTACTCACTTTCTCACCAGTCGATGTGCATTTGGGTCACTTATGGCTGTATGGTTGGTGTTGCTATGAACATTTATGTTTGCGTCCACATGTTTTTATTTTGCTTGAGTATATTTCTCGGATTGAAATTGCTGGGTCATGTGGTAATTTTGTCTTTAATCCCTCCCGCCCAAACAGAAACAGAGACAGAGTGAGAAATCACACCCCAGGGAGTGAGCCATTCTATAGTCCCTTCTCCTCCATTCTCCTCTTGGGATTTTATTCATGCATGTACACGTCCTTGGCATGATTTTTTTTTTTTTGAGAGATTTTTACTGTAGGGCGCGTGCGCTCGCCAGACAGAGAGAGACATAGAGACAGAAAGCGAGAAATCACCCCCCAGGGGGGATGGTCACGCCGCAATCCCTTCTCCTCCATTCTCCTCTTGGGATCTTGGGCACGCACGCACACGCGCCTGGCGTGAGTTCTAAGCCACCGGGTCCGGGACTCGAACCGCTGTCGACTACATGGGAGTCCAGCAACATAACCATTACGCTAACTGCTGGTTCCCACATGATTTTTTTTTTTTAATAAAGAATTATCTTATTCAACTTTATTTATTTTAATTTGATCTGAGAGGGACAGAGTGAGAGAGACAGAGTGAGGCAAAGTGATTAAACAAACCACCAGGTCCAGGAGTCTAACCATGGTTGGCCATGTGGGAGTCCAGCGCCTTAAACCACCACGCCACCTGCTGGCCCCTTGGCATGACTTTCAAGCCTCTGGGTCCAGGATGGAACTGAGCTGTCGGCTATGGGAAATTCAGCCACCTGTTGGCCTATGTTTAATCTTTTGAGGGACTGCCACACGTTTTTGCAAAGTGATGAAGCATTAGCATTTAAGTGGCTAGTGGAGGAATTTCTGTGACACAAGAGAAAGGCCAGAAAATGATAACTACTTCAGCTTCCTCTCTCCTTCCCTCTCACTTCTAGCAAGGCTTTTCATTACATCTCGTGAGCAATTGTCTTATTATCCCAGTGGCTGCATCTCAGTTCAAATCCCTATCATCTCCCTGCTCTTCCACACCCTATTAGAACGGTCTCCTGACAGATCTTGTCTCCTGTTTGTCCCCTCTATGTATTCCAGTTCTTTTTTCCCCTAAATGCCATTCCAAGATCCTCCTGGCAGGAATTACGTTTCAGACATTCTTTTTTTATCTTTTTTTTTTTTTAAGAATTATTTATTTAACTTTTTATTTATTATTATCATTATTATTTTCCAGTTTGATCAGAGATGGACAGAGAGAGAGCGAGAGGAAGTGAGAAAGCAAGCCACCAGGTCCAAGACTTGAACTGTGGTCGGCGCCTTTAACCACTATGCCACTTGCTGGCCCCTTTGTTTTTGTTTTGTTTTGTTTTGTTTTTTGAGAGGTTTTCGCTATAGGGCACGTGCGTTCGCCAGACAGAGAGACAGAAAGCGAGAAATCATCCCCCAGGGGGGATGGTCACGCCGCAATCCCTTCTCCTCTGTTCTCCCCTCAGGATCTTGGGCACACATGCACACGCACCTGGCGTGTTTAAGCCACCGGGTCCGGACGCGAACCACGGTCGACTACTTGGGAGTCCAGCGACATAGCCAGTACGCTAACTGCTGGTCCCATTTCTGAAATTCTTACATGTCTTCTGTCACTCTCTTGCACAATGAGCAGATGCAAAATGAACGTTTGAAAGAGACAACGGTTTCAAATCCCAGCTAAACGGAGTGAATGGCCCTCTTACTACTTGATTCAGTTGTATAACAGTTTCCAACTTGCTTTTGACTGCGGGTAAGAAAAGTAAGTATGGGGGCCAGCAGTTGGTGTAATGGATATGTTGCTGGACTCCCGTATAGTCGAACATGGTTCGAGTACCGGACCAGGAGGCTTAAACTCACGCTGGGTGCGTGTGTGTGTGCGTGCCCAAGATCTTGAGAGGAGAATGGAGGAGAAGGGATTGCCGTGTGGTCATCCCCCTGGGGGGGTGATTTCTCACTTTCTGTTTCTCTGTCTCTGTCTTTCTGGCGAGCGCATGCGCCCTATAGCAAAAACCTCTCCCTGACAAAAAAAAAAAAAAAAGTAAAGTAAATGTGTTCTGTCTTCTTAACATTTATTTTGTTTTAATACAGGCAATTTTATATGATGACAAAGGAGCATGTTTGGAAAGTCTCTTTCTTAAGCTACTTGAGGTATTTTCATATGTTTACATTATTTAAAAATCTCTAGCCACCAAAAAATATCTCTAGTAACTTTCTTTTAAAATGTTAAAGAGTGTAGACATGGAACTAATATTAATAATTATTGCTATATTTGTCGAACATCTATTCTAAGATTTTGTGCTAAATGCCAGTTGGTATTTTTTCCTTTTTTAAAAGAGAATTATTTATTTATTTAATTCTATTTGTTATTATTGTTTAACTTGACTAGAAAAAGACAGAGAGAAAGAAAAAGTGAGAAAGCAAGCCCCTAGGCCTGGGACTGCAACCATGGTCGGCCCTGTAGGAGTCCAGCACCTTAACCACCACCCCACCTGCCAGCTCAGTATTTTTGCTTTTAATTTTTACGACAACAGTGTTTTTTTCTTTTTGTAGAAGTGTAATGCCAAAAGATTAAGTAACTTGCATATGTCATAGATTTACAGTGCTTCACCTGAGATTTGGAACCAGAGACTAGTTGCTCTAAAGTCTAATTCTATTACGTGTTTTTTTTTTAATTTTTATTTTTTAGGTTTTTGCCATAGGGGCCATATGTTCGGAGGGGAGAGACGGGGAGGGGGGGATCAGAAATCACCCCTCAGCCACATTGCAGTCTCTTCTTCCCGCCCTCCTCCTGGGGTTTGAGCACAGATGCACATGTGGCTGTGTGATTTTCAAGCCGTCAGGTCTGGGGCAGATTGTGCTTGGCCGTGTGGGAGTCCAGGGCCTTGAGCGCTATGCTGCCTTCTGGCTGCTGTTACTTGGGTTTTGATCAAGATGTTTAGTGGGAAATACTGCTGGGCCCTATTTTATTTTATTTTATTATTTTATTTTTTAACTTAATTTATTTTAATTTGACCAGAGAGAGAGACACGCACAGAAAGAGAGAGAGAGAGAGAGAGAGAGAGAGAGAAGGAAAGCGAGAAAGCAAGCTACCAGGTCAGTGACTCGAAATGTGGTCAGCCATGTGGGAGTCCAGTGACCTTAACCACCATGCCACCTGCTGCTCCCCAATTGACATTCATTTATAAAGACATAATAAATAGGTTTTTTTTTTTTTTTTTTTTTTGAGTGGCCTTAGGGTACATGTACTCGTTAGAGAGAGAGACAGAGAGAGGGAATGTGAGAAATCGCTCTCCACAGGGGACGACCACACTGCAGTCCCTTCTCCATTCTCCAGGGATCTTGGGTACACGTGCACATGCACTCGGCATGGGTTTCAAGCCTCTGGGTCCCGGGCTTGCACCGTGGTTCACATTTGAGAGTCCAGCAACATAACTGCTTCACCATCTTCTGGCCCAGTAGCTCTGTTTTAAAAAGTATTTTGCCAGAGGGCATGTGCACTTGCCAGAGGGAAGGAAAGTGTCTCCCACAGTGGATGGTCATGCTGCAGCCCCCTGTCCTCCATTTCTCCCTTCTGAGATTTTGGACATGCATGCACACACCTGCCATGTTTATCAAGATGTTGGGTCTACGACTTAAATCGTGTGGGTTGACCACATGGGATCCAGCTGCCTTCCTCACCTCATCGTGGGCCGGGCTGGTAATAGTGCTAAATTTTAAAAAGTTACATTTGGTAGGAGACCAGTAGGTGGTGCGGTTAAGGGGTTGGGCATCCCCATGTGGTCACCCACAGTTCGAGTCCCGAATCTGGTGGCTGACTTTCTCACTTTCCCTTTCTCTCCCTCTCTCTGTGTCTCTCTGGTCAAATTAAAAAATAAATGAATGAATAAATAAAATTAATGAAATAATTCTTTTTAAAAATTACGTTTGGTAATGGATTCTAAGTGAATCCCTTGAGCGGAGGCTTATTCTCCTTGCCTGCCGTCGTGTCCCCAGCTATTAAATGAGCACGTCAGTGAGTCTGTTACTGTGCTGTGCTTGTCGGTGCTTGTCGGTGCTGGACTAGTGCGTGCTGATGAGCAGTTGAAGACTTACACTACTCGTTCACTCACTCGGTACCTACTTAGTGCATACCCATTTCATCTCGCTTAGTGCTAACGAGCTTAATGGGACACAGTGGGTAATCAAAATAACCATATACTCGGACATGGGTTCTTTAACATGCAGGTGAAACCTGGAGATGACTTAGAAAGTGACCGGTACCTAGTCACCGTGGAGGGAGTTACCGTTGCGGCAAGTGTAACTGTTGAACAGGATGCTGCTAAAGAAGCCCCAAAGTCAAATTCATGGAAGCCGGTACCTAGCTGGTCTCTCGGGCGTCAGCCTCCTGGTGTAAAAAGGAGGTTCACGGTGCGTTTCCCCATGGCAACCGTACGTCAGTGTCTGAGAGACTGTACCAAACAGTGATGAGTTTGAAGCTGTTGCACTATGATGTTAAACGATGATTTGTAGTATAGTCAGGTAGAAAGGAAATAACCCTTAGTTCCCTTGTTACAGATAAAGGTCTGTATTTATTTAGCAAACTTGAAATCTTTTTTTGTTTTGTTTTGTTTTGAGAGGTTTTTGCCATAGAGTGTGTGTGCTCGCCACAAAGACAGAGACAGAAGGCGAGAAATCACCCCCTGGGGGGGATGGCCACGCTGCAATTCCTTCTCCATTCTCCTCTCGGGATCTTGGGCATGCATGCATGTGCTCCTGGTGTGAGTTTAAGCCACCAGGTCTGGGACTTGAACTGCAGTCAACTACATGGGCGTCCAGCGACATAGCCATTATGCCAGCTGCTGGTCCCAGCAAACTTTATATCTTAATAATTACTTTATTTTAAGGGAAGTATATCTTTTTATTTATTTATTTATTTATTTATTTTTTTTGCCAGAGAGCATGTATGTTTGCCACAGAGAGAGAAAGAGGGAAAGTGAGAAATTATTCCAGAGGAGATGGTCATGGCACAGTCCCTTCTCCTTCATTCTCCTCTTGGGATTTTGGGCACATGTGCCTGACCTGTTTTTTCAGACCGCCAGCTCTGAGTCTTGTACTGCAGAGTTAGCCCTGTGGAATCTAGTGCCTTAACCACCACGTCACCTACTGCCCCTCTTGTTTGTTGTTAAAATTTTGTTATAGGGCATATGTGCTCAGTGGACACAGAGAGGAAAGGTGAGGAATCACTCCCCGGGGGCATGCTACTCTGCAGTCAGTCTCTTCTCCGTTCTTCTCTTGGGACTTCGGGCACACAGTCAGGTGTCTTCAGGGTGATTTTCAAACTGCAGTGTCTGGGAGTGAACGGTGTGGAATCCACCCACCTTAATCCCTGCACTCCCTGCTGGCCCCACATTTCTTCCTTCTTTCTTTCTGTTTTTTTTTTTTTTTTCCAATCAGTTAATTTCACATATTCTTTACAGGTAATGGAATAACTAATAATTGTTAGTCATTGTTTTAATATTTGTAGGGTTTTCAAGGACCACGTCAGATCCCAAAGAAAATGGCTATTGTAGAACATGGAGAACCAGCCACATCACTGGAAGCTGAGCAACCTGGACCCACGTTTGTCTCTTCCCTCTGTAGCTCCTCTCCTTCGTTCGGTGCTGGCCGCAGAGACGGAACGAGTATGGCGGCAGACCTAGAGTGCGCCATCACTTACAGGGACAGAGGGAGAGGTAGCGTGCCGCCACCAACTGTTCCAGCTGCACCCTTCAAGGTTCGCCCAGAAGGACGTGAAGAGAAGTATCTCTGCTCTCCTGTTGGTCCTGGAGATAAACTTCCCGACTGCGGACTGCCCATTGCAAGCGATGGTTTCGCATCTCACCGTTCAGGAGTCTCACAGCACATCAGAAGCAGAGCCCGGATACTAGCTCTTCTGAAGCCCAAGTCAGCCAGCACACGCCAGGAGCTACACCCTTTGATCAGAGAATGTGGTCCTCAGGTACAGCTGCAGGGGAGGGCAGACGCTCCTGCTGCCCCCAAGGGCCTGGCTCACCTGGGTGAGCCTGCAGAGGGCAGGAGCACAGAAATCCAGCATGGCCAGCACCCCCCAGCAGGCAGGGGCTCTCACAGCCAGTGGGCCACATGTGTGTCCTCACAGAATGCTCATTCTACAGGCGGTGCAAGTGAAAGAGGAGGAGGTCCTGAGACCCAGGGAGATGATGGCAACTTGAATTTCAAAGACTTTCTGGTACAAAATGAAACTCGTCTCGCAAAGAAAGAGTGCTGTGAGGGTGAGCCAGTTGGTAATAGCAATGGACCTTGGGATCAGAAGGTGAAATTAGAAAGTCCTTCCTTCTGTGACGGCGACAGCTTGCTGGTTACCTGTAGCAGTCCGGAAAGTGATCGTTTATTATCAGGGTCTGACATTGAAGAGAGTAGTGAAGCCCTGTGTAGTCAACATGACAAGGTGTGTGTAAGAGGACCCATTTTCATTAGAGAAAAGGCTGAGGAGGTGAACTTGTGCAGAATGTTAGAAAAGGACTCTGAACAGCCAGTGTCATCTCTGCCAGAGTCTGGACAGCTGCAGATCGAATCTCCAAGTGACAAACCTGGAATTTCCAGTATTATGGACGTGTTTTCTACAAGTGACACTGACAGTGAAAGGCCTGATAGCGTCTATCAACCTGTAAGTGACACAGCACAGCCATTTTTGGAGGTAACTTTTAATCTGAGCAACTTTGATCCCAGTGACTCTGAGGAGGAGTCACAGGGAACCAGAGCAGTTTCCCAGCGTCCGGACAGACAGGTGAAGGAGAGTTCAATTGGTGACATTAACTCATGCGTTGAAAAGAGATGTGAGGTTATAAGCCACCCAGAAATCAACAGACGTTTGCCACTTGTCCTGAGCCCTGGTGGCAGCTCTATGGAGACTCTTCCTATGGAGCGGACTCTGCTGTCACAGTTTTGCGATGAGATTTGTGTGGGTTTTGATGTGGGACGACGTAAAACTGGAAAGACTGGAAAAGAAGCAGCGGCGAGCAGGGAAACAGTAAGTGGGGTGGACACGGTGACTGCTGGTGTGTGTGAGGGTGACAGAGAAGGTGCCAGTGTGTGCGTCCCCGAGGTCCCAGGTAACTGTGGTCTCACTTCACACCTGAATAAACCTAAAGGCACAAACACGAATTGGCATGTTCCTAATTTTTTAAACAGAACTACTAACCAGACTCCTGGGAATAACCTATTTCCAGAAGATGCTCGGCCCCAGGCATTTATTTTGGCAAATGACTTAGAAGGAAGTGATGAACAGGGTTTGCTGTCACCCTGTAGTAGTGACCACAGCACCCAGCTGTTAAATACCACTCAGGCTCACTCTACGTGTATTGCACTTGGCAAATCAGATACCCAAGTTTCCAGTTCTTTGTCTTACCGTCTGGGAGGAAAACATTGTATGCCTAAAGACACAGAAGCACGTCTTTCTGAATCTGAAGATTTGGAAATGATTAGATGTTTACCTCCTGATAATACTGAAGTCGGAACTGCCAGAAAAAGCAGACAGTATTGGAGTAATGCTGGAAATTCTTCAGAAGTTTCTGGATTAGTAAATAACATGTCTCTTTTGAAATCACTGTCTGCGTATAACTCAGCTTTGGACAGCTTGGAGATACTGACAGAGGAGAAGACTGCCTTTCGCCATCACAGATCTCCGCAGATACAGGAGGCAGAGAGCAGTCCTGGAGGTTAGAGGGGCTTGTCTGGCTTGCACCGTTCTTGTAGCTCGGGGAGACGGTACCTGTTCTGGTCGCGACAGCAGAGTCAGGCAGTTTAAATCGGCAGTATGAGCACCGGGCAGAAGCAGCTCTCACAGAGAGCACATGGCGAGAGCAAGCCTTCCTACCACAGCTCCTCAGGCCACCTCTTTGTAAGAGGCCTTTGCCTTAGGGTTTGTGCTCCAGGAAGAGAAAGACAGAGACAATGAGAGGGAAAGTGAGAAATCACCCCCGCAGGGGCCATGCCACAGTTCCTTCTCCATTTTCCTCCCGGGATCTTGTGCACACATGCACACGTGCCCAGCATGAGTGTCAAGCCATCAGGTCTGGGTCTTGAACCGTAGTTGGCCATGTGGGAGTCTAGCGATGTAACCACTACACCATCTGCTAGCCCTAGCCCGTTTTCTTTAGGGTATCTTTCCAGAAATATTCTTTGCATGTGAGCATTTATCGGCACATGTAAGGGAACATGTATGTTCCCACACATGTACAGTATATATCATAGTCTTCTTACCATTTTCATCTTTGGACATGTATTGAGATAAATTTTTTATTTATGTTTAAAATGATTAATTTATTTTTATTTATTATCATTATTTTTTAATTTGACCAGAGAAAGAGAAAGTGAGAAAGTAAGTCACCGGGTTCAGGACTTGAACTCCAGTCAACCACGTGGGAGTCCAGTGCCCTAACCAGCACGCTACCTGCCAGCCCTCCTGATGTGAAAGTCCAGTAATGTAAACATTATGCCATATACTGGTCCCTATTTTAATTTTTCTTGAAGCGTTTTTTTTTTTTTTTTGCCAAAGGGCTTGTGTGCTCACCAGAGAGAGAGGCAGATACAGAGAGAGCAAAAGTGAGTCATTCTCAGGAAATGTCTGCTGCAGTCCCTTCTCCAGTCTCCTTCCTGGATCTTGGGTGGGCACATGAGTTTCAAGCTACCGGGTCTAGGACTGGAATTGCAGTCAGCCATGTAGGAGTACAGCTAGGTAAACACCATGCCACCTCCTGGCCCTAAGACATTTTTATAAAAAGCATGAGTTCTGGGGCCAGCAGGTGGCATTGTGACTGAGGCGCTGGACTCCCACACGGCTGACTGCAGTCTGAGTCCCAGACCAGGCGGCTTTAAAACCACGCTGCACATGGGGCCAGCCAATGGCGTAATGACTACGTCACTTGACTCTGATGTAGTCGACCACAGTTCATTTCCTGAGCCCAGCGGCTTAAAGCTCATGCCAGACGAGTGTGCGCGTGTGCCCAAAATCCTGAGAGGAGAACGGAGAAGGAACTGTGTGGCCACCCCCTAGTGGTGATCCCTCGCTTTCTGTCTCTGGCAAGCTCACGCGCCCTATAGCACAAATCTTTCTTGGGAAAAAAAAAAGACAATCATGCTGCACCTATGCGCCCAAAATCCAAAGAGGAGAATGAGGAAGGGATTGCGTTGTCCCTCTGGGGAGATTTCTGACTTACCCTCATTCTCTCAGGTAAGTGCACATGCCCAATGACCAAAAAAAAAAAAAAAAACCTTAAAAAAAAAGGTTACATCTTCTTTCACACGATTTCGCTGTTTACCATTTGGTACAAAGTAGCAGGCCAGCTGGTGGCATGGTGGTTACGGGTACTGGATCCCACACGGCTGAGCACAGTTCAAGTTTGGACCTGGTGGCTTGAAAAAAAATGCCGGGCGTGTGTACATGTGCTCCACTGCAAAAAATCCCATAAGAATGGAGAAGAGGTTACCATGTGGCCATCCTCCCTTAGGGGCGATTTCTCACTCCCCTCCCCCCTTTCTGTCTCTGGTAAGTGCATGCACCCTATAGCAACGCTAAGGGGAAAAATGACTCTTCTGTCCATCCTTGTTGATTTATTTCTGACTGTGTAAAATACTAACCAAGTTCAGGGCCAGCAGGTGGGCATGGAAGTTAAGGTGGCTGGACCCCACATGGCTGACTGCGTTTCGAGCCCTGGACCTGGTGGCTCAAAATGATGACAGGCGTGTACGTGTGCATGCTCAAAATGTCGGGGACTGGGAGAGAAGAGGTTGTGGCGTGGCCACCCCCGGGTCGATTTCTTCCCCTCTCTCTGTACCCTACCACCCCCAACTGGTGAGTGCATGCACCCTGTAGTCCCATCCCCTTTAAGAAAATAGCCAAGTCGCCGTGTCAGCACTGAGATCCCTTTGTCATGCCTTCTGTCCCAGTCTCTCCCGGCTGCTGTGGGTCCTCAATAGGTCATACACACTTCTTTTTTTATGTAATTATTTTATTTAACTTTATTTATTCATTTATTTTAATTTGACCACAGAGGGACAGAGTGAGGTAGAGATAGAAATTGAGAACGCAAGCCACCAGGTCTAGGATTTGAACCGTGGTGGCAAATGTGGGAATCCAGCACCCCTAACTACCACACCACCTGCCAGCCCCCATACTTACACATCTTTTGGTAAAATTAAATAGCTCTAAAAATTGTTTTTCACCTTGTTTAACAAAAGATACCATACTGGGGACCAGTAGTTGGCATAATGGCTATGTCACTGGACTCCCATGTAATCGACCATGGTTCTAGTCCCGGACCCGGTGGCTTAAACTTACACTGGGTGTGTGTGCGTGCGCGTGCGTGCCCAAGATCCCAAGAGGAGAATGGAGGAGAAGGGATTGCGGCATGGCTATCACCCCTGGGGGTGATTTCTCACTTTCTGTCTCTCTGTCTCTGGTGAGCGCATGTGCCCTGTAGCAAAAACCTCTCAAAAGAAAAGAAAGATAGTATACTCATATATTCTTTTGCACTTTGCTCTTTCCCCTTAGTCGTATGCCGCGGAGTCATTTCATCTCAGTACATAGGGAGCACCCTCATCTTTGTTTGCGTCTGTCGCCCACTGTGGGCGTACACGGCCTTTGTTCAGCCCGTCTCCTGTGTGGACATTTGGGTGTATACCTTCAGATTACAAGTAATGTGGCAGCCGGTGTTCTCTATCTTGACGTACGTGGGTGTGTGTGTCTAGACTCACATCACCCCTGTTGTTGAGGTGTCTTCAGAGCACTTTCCCGGGGTTACTGGGTTAGTGGGTAAGTATGTGTGGTTTTTTAGACACTTGAGAGCTCATTTGGTGCCCACAGGTGGTATGGCTAATGCGCTGGACTACCACCTGGCACGTTTCAACTGGTGCTAGCTTTCACACTTTCTCTCTGTCTCTATGGTGAGTGCATGAGCCCTGTATCAAGTTTAAAAATAAATAAATAAAATGAAATAATTAAAAAAAAAATTATGGGGCTGACAGGTGGTGTGGTGGTTAAGGGCGCTGGATTCTCACATGACTGACCAAAGTTCAAGTCCTGGACCTGCTGGCTTGCTCTCCCCCGCTTTCGTTCTCACTCTTGCTCTGTCCTTCTTTGGTCAAGTTAAAAATAAAGTTAAAAAAAGAATTCTTTAAACAAAAATAATGATTTCATTTTATTTATTATTATTTTTTATTTTTCCGTGTGCTTGCTGGAGAGACAGAGAGACAGAAAGTGAGAAATCACCCCCCAGGGGATGGTTATACCACAGTCCCTCCTCTATTTTCCTCTTGGGATCTTGGGGAAAACATGCTCACACATCCAGCATGAGTTTTAAGCTGCCAAGTCTGGGACTCTAACTGCAGTCGGCCACATGGGAGTCCAGCAATGTAACCATTATGCGATATGCTGGTCCCTTACTGTTTTTTAATTTACCCAGAGAGACAAGAGTGAGAGAGAGGGAGGGAAAGTGAGAAAACAAACTGCCAGGTACCGGACTCGAATCGTGGTTGTCTGTATGGGAGTCCAGCACCTTAGCCACCATGCCACTTGCTGGCCCCCAAATTAAAGAGATTTTTTAAAAATATATATTTTTGCTATCGGATATGTATACTCACTGGAGAGACAGACAGAAAGTGAGAAATTGGGGATGGCCATGCTCCAAGCTGCCCAGTGTAGGGCTGGGACTGTGGTCAGAACTGTGGTCTCCATCATTAACCACCATGCCACCTGATGCCAAGGGGCCTGGCTGCTCTTGAGCACAGCATCTGCCTGGAGCCAACCCTTTGTCAGAACTTTGGTTTTTTCGAATTATTTATTTAATTTTATTTACCATTATTATTTTTACATTTGCTACAGGACTTGTACACTTCCTTGAGAGAGCGAGGGAGAGGGGGGAGTGAGAAAGCACTGCACATGGTGTTTTCCTGCCGCAGACCCTTCTCCATCTCCCCCTCCTTTGGGATTTTGGGCGCACACACACACGTGCTTGATGTGTTTCTCAAGTTGCTGGGTTCGGGCCTTGACCTACCTGATCTGCCACGTGGGATCGGCCTTCACCACCTTGCCACTGGCAAGATGTTTTCTTCACATGTTCATCATCAGTTTAGAATTAGTCTTGTGACTTTAGAGAGATGAAGCTTTTTGGATATACACTGGAGAAAAGTGGCTTAGTTCACATAGATGCCTGCTGAGGGAGCTGACACCGCGTGCTCTGCCCTGTAGGCTCCGGCTTCTCAGCCTCTGCCTTGTCTGTCTTCACTAAACGTGCCTGCAGGGGCTCACTGCCCGCTTTTCAGGTACTTCCACGGAGACTGCCTAGTCACCCTATCTCCAATTGCTCTGTCCCATCACCCTCCACGCACGCACACACATGTGCCCAGCATGAGTTTTAAGCCACCAGGTCTGGGACTGCAGCCATGGTCAACTGTGTGGTAGTTCAGTGACGTAACCATTATGCCACCTGCTGGTTCCCCAGTATTTATTTTTAAATAAGTTTGAAAAAAGAGACAGGAAACAGTCTCACTATTGACTTAGAACACAACCAAACGGGCTTTCAGTTCCATGTTTTGTTTTTTTTTGCCATAGGATGCATGTGCTTGCCAGAGAGAAACAGGAGAAGTTAAAAATCATGTTCCAGGGATGGCCATGCCAATACCGTTTCTCCTCCATTCTCTCGGGATCTTGGGCACGCACGCACACCCGCCTGGCATGAGTTTTAAGCCACCAGGTCTGGGGCGCAAACCGCAGTCGACTACATGGGGGTCCAGTGACATAGCCATTATGCCAACTGCTGATCCCAAAAATGTTCCTTTTTTTTTTTTTTTTTTGGGTTTTTGCTATGGGGCGCGTGCGCTAGCCAGACAGACAGAAAGCAAGAAATCACCCCCCGGGGGGATGGCCACACCGCAGTCCCTTGTCCTCCATTCTCCTCTCGGGATCTTGGGCACGCACGCACATGCGCCCGGCGTGAGTTTTAAGCCACCGGGTCTGGGACACGAACTGCGGTTGACTACGTGGGAGTCCAGCGACATAGCCATTACGCCAACTGCTGGTCCTGGTCCCAAAAATGTTCTAATCGACACAGAACAGTAAGTGAACTTTCAAGTCTCCATAATGTAGATTAAGTAATTATCAGGATTTTGCCTCCTCTTAAAATTTAAGTTACATTTCTTGTTTCTTTCAGCTTTAGAAATAAGTTTAAGGTGGGCCAGCAGATGGCATGGTGTTTAAGGGCACTGGACTCCCACATGGCCGACCACAGTTCAAGTCCTGGACCTGGCGGCTTGCTTTCTCACTTTCTCTCCCCCCTCCCACACTGTCCCTCTCTGGTCAAATTAAAATAAAGTTAAATAAAATAATTCTTAAAAAAAAAATTGTTTAAGGGTAATGGCTATATCATGGACTCCATGTAGTCGACCGCGGGTTCATGTCCCGGGCCCAGTGGCTTAAACTCTCGCTGGATGTGTGTGCGTGCATGCCCAAGATCCCAAGAAGAGACTGGAGAAGGGATTGCAGCATGGCCATCCCCCCTGGGGGGTGATTTCTTGCTTTCATTCTTTCCCCTATAGCAAAAACCTCTCCAAAAAGAAAAAAAGTTTTCAAGTTCCAGCGTGCTCATATACACTCGGTGAGAAGGCTGGTGTGACTGTCTCTCCTCTTGCAGCCTGGAAGCTAACTGCTGCAGCGGGCTCAGACGCTGCTCTGAAGTCTCGTTTCAACCTGGATTCTCAACAGGTACCGTTTTTTGTTTTCCTCTAACAGCTTTTTTTTTTTTCTTTTTAAATAAAAGAACAATAATTTATTTTATTTCATTATTATTTAAAAAATAATTATTTAATGTTATTTATTAATATTATGTTTTGGAGAGGTTTTTGCTATAGGGTGTATGCGCTCGCCAGAAAGACAGAGAGACAGAAAGACAGAAAGCAAGAAATCACCCCTCAGGGGGTATGGCCACGCCGCAATCCCTTTTCCTCCACTCTCCTCTTGGGATCTTGGGCATGCACACACACGCAATTGGCGTGAGTTTAAGCCACCTGGTCCGGGACTCAAACCATAGTTGACTACATAGGAGTCCAGTGTCATAGCCATCATGCCATCTGCTGGTCCCTATTATTTTTTAATTTGCCCAGAAAGAGGCACAGAGAGAAAGAGAGGAAAAGTGAGCAAGCAAGCTGCCAAGTCTGGGATTTGAACCATAGTTGACCATGTGGGAGTCCAGCACCTTAACCACCATGCCACCTTAGGGCTCCCTGGCATATTTTTAAAATTCTGATGTGAGTATTCCATAATTTGTAGTAGAATTATGGCAGTACAGAGGATCTCATGCTATTTAGGTTCTTTTCCCCTTTGTAGCTGTTGCTATTTTTATTGATAAAAGGAATACCTAATAGTTCTTGGGATCAGCAGGTGTATGGTGGTGAAGGCGCTGGACAATTCCACATGGCTAACCATGGTTCGAGTCCCGGACCTGGTAGCTTGCTTTCTTGCTTACTCTTTTTCTCTCTCTCTTTCGGCCCAAACCCCTTAATATTTTTAAAAGATACAGATTTAATTTTATTATTATTGGGGCCTGGCAGGTGGCGTGGTGGTTAGAGGTGCTGGACTCCCATGTAGCCTACCAGGTTTGAGTCCCAGACTTGTTGGCCTGCTTTCTTACTTTCTGTCACCCTTGGTCAAATTGGAAAATAATGAAAATAAATAAATAAATGAATAAATAAATAAATCTTTTAAAAAATGTATTATTATTATTCAGCTTGACCAGAAAGAGACAGATGGGGGAGATGTTAAGGGGGAGAGTGAGAAAGCAAGCCGTCAGGTCTGGGATTCATGCCCGTCACGTGGGAGTCCAGCACCTTATCTGCCATACCACCTGCCAACCCTGGTATTAAACACCTTAAGTGTTCATGTCTGATTGACTCAATAAGCTTTTATTTTTTAAATTTATTTTCTTGTTTTCTTTTTCATAGGGTGCATGTACTCACCAGGGAGAGGCAGAGAGAGAGAGAGAGAGAAGGAAGTGAGGAATCACCCCCACAGTGGGGATGGCCCCTCTGCAGGTCCTTCTCCATTCCCCCTTGGGATTTTGGGCATGCATGTGCACGTACCCAGTGTGATTTTCAAGCCACCGGGTCCAGGACTCAAACCATGGTTGGCCATGTGGGAGTGTCCAGCGCCTTAACCACCATGCCACCTGCTTGTCCCCCCAATACCTTTTTTTAAAATAACTTTTTAGAAACTTGCTATAGGGCACATGTGCTCGCTGGAGAAACAGACAGAAAGTGAGAAATCACCCTCCGGGGGATGGCCACACCACAGTCTCTTTTCCATTCTCCTCTTGAGATTCTGGGCACATGTGCACATGTATCCAGCACTCTGACTGCAGTTGACAATGTGGGAGTCGAGCAATGTAGTCATTATGCCATCCGCTGGTCCCACAGTGTTTTTAATTGCCAGAGGGTACATGTGGCTGCAAGAGTGCCCCACCCCAAATGGAGTGTGGCTATGTGGTCCTTCCCCTCCACTCCTCCACCCGTCAGGATCTGGCCATCCACACACAGTGCGGTTAGGGTGGCATAGAAAGAGGTGAGGTCTGGCCCTACACACAGGGTCCGGCTTGCGATTCTGTAGGGCCAGCTCTGTACACCTTATCTAGAAACAGCTCTTCAGAACTGCTCCACCTTCGGCTAGACTTCTAATGTAGCTATTGAAAGAACACTTGCAGGTTTATCTGGGCAGATTTTTTTTTGCTAGAAGACATGTGTGCTGGCTGGAGAGAGAGAAAGGAGGAAGCACGTGGGGAGTGTTCACACGTGGTTCTTTCTGTTTCTCTCGCAGCATTTGGGTGTGTGCAGACCCCCAGCATGTTTCTCCAGCTACAGGGCCTGGGCATCCCTGCACAGTCAGCCACATGGGATCTGGCTCTTCACCAAGCCTCAGAGCCAGCCTGAGCCTGGATTTTGTATCACATTGCTCTGCCCTCCCTTTCTGTGAACGCGGGCGTGGTGGCGCCTGCCCTATGGCAAAAGCCTTTCTGTGAACGCAATCATTGTGTTCAGTGCTCAGTCATAGTGTAACCTTTTTGGACACATTCAGAGAGTGGAATTACATAGACTGTGTCTAATGTTGGCACTGCACAGTCCAAACCCCATCTGAGTGGTCCCTATGGGCAGTGTGACCAATCCACACAGGTCCACACGTGTCTGCCCGTGTGGCAGCACCTGTCACCGCTATCCTATACTGTGGGAACGTTAAAATGTCCACCCTTTTCTGCTGCGTCCCTATTTCAGAGAGGCTAAGATGTTAACAAACTGAGTCTTTTCTTTGGTAGAGGTTTTTGCTATAGGCCATGTGCTCTCGCCAGAAAGACAGAGAGACACAGAAAGCGAGAAATCACCCCCTGGGTGGATGGCCACGCTGCAGTCCCTTCTCCTCCATTCTCCTCTAGGGATCTTGGCCACGCACCCACAGGTGCCCGGCGTGAGTTTTAAGCCACTGGGTCCAGGACATGAACTGCAGTTGACTATGTGGGAGTCCAGCGACATAGCCATTACGCTAACTGCTGGTCCCAACAACAAACTGATTCTTAAGAATTGTTTCTAGTTGTTTCTAACTCCTACTGTAATGGTTACGTCACTTGACTCCCATGTAGTTGGCTGCAGTTCAAGTCCTGGACCTGGTGGCTTAAAACTCAAACTGTGTGTGTGTGTGCATGCATGCCCAAAATCCTGAAAGGAGAAGAGAAGGGATTACAGTGTGGCCATCCCTCCTGGGGTGGTGATTTCTCACTTTCTGTCTCTGTGTCTCTCTGGCAAGCGCAACATGCCCTATAGCAAAACTCTCAGAAAAGATAAAGTTTTTAAAAATAGTGTGGATATGTACCCACACTTCTTCATTTTACTAAATAAACATTAAAGCATCTCTGTTTCCTAGTTCTCAGAAAAAGAAAACTTTCCAAAAGGAGACTCTGGCTTTAATACTGAAAACAATTTTTGCATGGTAGCTAGGTCTGAGGACTCAGGAATTACTGTAAGCAAGCTGCAGGTAAATCAGAGCACTAGGAAGTTTACAGTAGACAGACCGTTATGGAAACATTCCTGCCTTTTCCTCATGGCAACTTGAGGGTTCCCTCTGAAAGATTCAGAGTATTTGCATAGTGACACGGATTATAATTTAAGATTGACAGAGAAGACTTCCTGGGAAGCAGATAAGGTGTAGTACAAATAGAACTTTATTATTTTTTCCTTCAAATTTTTGCCATAGGGCATGTGTGCGTGCTTGCTCTCTCTCACTGAGAAATCACCCTGAGGGGGATGGCCACGCTACAGACTTCTCCTGCAGTCTCCCCTTGGGATTTTAGACATGCATGCACATGTGCCTGGCGTGTTTTTGAGTTGTGCTTTTTTTTTTTTTTTTTAAGAATTATTTAGTTTTATCATTAATATTTTTTCAATTTACTATAGGACACATGTACTCACCAGAGGGGAGGAGGAAGTAAGTGAGCCAGCTGCCACTTCCTGGCCCCTGGGTATTCATTTTTACAGCTCTAGTTCCTAGCACAGCACCTGGAACATAGAAGCTAATCAAGAAAATGCTTTAAATTTTAATAGAAACTTTTAATCTTTTTTTTTTTTTTTGGAGAGGTTTTCGCTATAGGGCGCGTGTGCTCGTCAGACAGAGAGAGACATAGAGACAGAATGCGAGAAATCACCCCCTGGGGGGATGGTCACGCCGCAATCCCTTCTCCTCCATTCTCTTCTCGGGATCTTGAGCACGCACACACACGCGCCCGGCGTGAGTTTTAAGCCACCGGGTCCAGGATGCGAACTGCGGTCGACTACGTGGGAGTCCAGCGACATAGCCATTATGCTAACTGCTGGTTCCCAGAAACTTTTCATCTTTATCATCATTTACTTAAAAAATAAATACATGTGTGCATTTTTAAAAAAGTTTTTTTAGTTCATGTGAGCTCACTGGAGAGAGAGAGAAAGAGAGAAAATGATAAATCTCTCCTTCCCCCGTGGGACTACCATTCATAATCCCTTCTCCTCCATTCTCCCCTTGGGATTTTGAGCATGCACACACACACACGCTCAGTGTGCTTTTCAAGTCACTGGGTCTGGGATTCAAACCGCGTTTGGCCATGTGGGAGTCCAGCACCCTAACCACCTTCTGACCTGTTTTTGTTTTTGCCAGAGAGTGCATGTGTTTGCTGGAGAGAGCGAGAAAGCGCCCAGCCATGTCGAGTGGCCATGCCCTGGTCCCTTCCCTCTCCCCCTCCGTTTGGGATTTCGGGCACACACATACATGCCGAGTGCATTTCTCAAGTTGCTGGGTCTGGGACTGGAACTGTGGTCGGCCGTGTGGGGTTCAGCTGCCTTAACCACCAGCCACAGCCTGGCCTGGAGTCATTGCTCTCAATACTAGGCTGTATTCGAACTCGGAGAAAATGTACAAAGTAATTTTGGTCTGTAGCTCTGTTTCATCTTTCTGGATAGGCGACGTCGCCAGGACAGATCTCTGCCCTGAGCCCTCTCTCTGCCTTTCCTTTGAACTCGAGAGGTGAAGACCACGTGCCAGAATTCTCTGAGGAGTCCCTGAGAGCACGAGCATTGCCTGGTGACCTTCGCTTTCTCCCCCGGGAGGGCGGTGAGTACGGTCCCTCTCCAGTACCGGTCGGTCCCGGTAAGTGAGGCTCTCATCGAGAGACTGTCACAAGACGTGTCTCAGAGCCGGACTCAGTCGCCTCCCCAAAGCCTGCCCACCCCAGCTTTCGCTTTTCTCAGCTTCCCAGCCCACGTGGCAGCAGGCCAGAGTCCCGCTTTGGCAGCTCACACACCCCTGCTTGTCCCTGGGCCTAGCCAGAGCACACGGCCGGCCTCCTTCTGAGGCTGGTCTCTTAACGCCACTTGGGAAGAGCCGCAGCATATGTGGGGTTGGGACGGTCACTGTGCCACAGAGGACGTCCATGTCTTGGGTGCAGAACTTTCCAGGGAAGAGAAACGATCAACAGCTGTAAAGCTACACTAGCTGACTGCATGGTTTGAGTCCCAGACATGGTGGCCTGACAGTCACACCTGGTGGGAGAGGAGAGGGCCGGGAGGAGTGTGCAGGGCATGCGTGCCCTAATCCTGAGGAGCCTGGGAGGGAAGGGACTGTGGTGTGGCCATCCCGGGGGCGACTCCTCTCTCCATCTCTGTCACTGTCTGTGTCGTGAGGGCCGTGGGAGCAGGACAGGGCTGGACAGCTGTGCGGGGAGAAGGCGCTAAAGCCACACTCGCACCAGTGTGTTTTATTTTCAACACAACAAACTGTCCTGAAGGCGCATTGTTGTGAAGCAGGAGTCCATGGCGCTCTCAGGAACTTCGCACCTGCACACGCCCCGTCTTGTCCCGTCTCGTCTCCCTCGTTCACATGGCTGGCAGGTACTCACCCTGTCTCGCATTCTCAGGGGTCTCACTGTCACTGACACCCCTGACAGAGATGCCAGATGCTCCCCAACACGCTCCCCGTGTGCTTCCACAGTTGTGCTTACCGTGTGCCACCAGGCCAGGATAAAGCTAAACATCTCCATTGCCTGCGGGGGACATTGCAATTCATGACTTGCTTATTATTATTACTTTTTTTAAATTGACAAGAGAAAGAAGGAAAGTGAGAAGCAATCTGCCAGATCCAGGACTCGAACCATAGTCTCTTGTGGGAATAGAGCAACCTTAACCACCACACCACCTGTTGGCCCAAGTGTAATAAATATTTAAAGGAAGTCCAGCCATGTGGTTGAATGAATGAACCTCGAACATCGGTGTGCAGAGGAGTGTGAAGGACACCCAGACCTGGGTCAGGCAGCCCTGCGGCCCCCAGCCCCAGCCTGTCTGGAGGGACAGGAGACTTGGTCCTGAAGTGCTCTGAATACCCGAGTGTCCTTCCAACAGGACGCACTAACTAGGGAGGAATTCTTGGCTAAGGAGGAAAAGAAAAAGATAAGGACTTCAGCTTATCAAACTTCAAGATGTCTCAGAGTCTGTAAATGAAGCTTCGAAGTCTTTATTTTCTGAGACTGAAGTCATTAACTTTTTTTGAGAGGTTTTTGCTATAGGTCATGTGCACTCACCAGAGAGAGAGAGAGACAGAAAGCGAGAAATCACCCCCAAGGGAGGATGGCTGCGCCACAATCCCTTTTCCTCCAATTCTCCTCTTGGGCACGTACGCACACGCACCCTGTGTGAGTTTAAGCCACCGAGTCCGGGACTCGAACCGTGGTCGACTGAGTCCAGTGACGTAACCATTATGGCATCTGCTGGTCCCATCATTAACTTTTTCCAAAAGGAGAGGAAATTATGTAATTTTCTCCCCCCGGGGAAAAGTGGCTCTTGTATTGGTACTGCCCGTTTCTCGGGCCTGGGTGATGACTACAGTGCACTTTCACTTCATCAGCGTGCTGTTTCCTCAGGCATGGGACACTGCAGCGCCCTGGAGAGTAGGAGCCTTCGCAGTCCACCGTCAGTAAGTGGAGCCCGAGTGTCACCCGAGGGCAGGCTGCCCAGCTTGGATGCTGGCTCCTGGCCAGCCAGTGGTACCCCCCCGGCGTCCTCGCACTCCCCGCTCCGTTCCTGCCAGGAGTCTGCAGCTCTTCCCTTCCACTTTGGGTCTGAGGAGCCGTGCGAGGCGTCCTTCTCCAGGGGGCCTGGCGGGGGCGCTCCAGCAGACACGCCCTTTCTCAGTGATGTGTGCCCTCAAAGCAAGTGGGTGAAATACCGGAGCCCCGCCCCACACAGCCCGGCCACTCCAGAAGGTCCCGACCCGGCGGATGGCACCCCTGCAGAGGCCCTTCCTGGGACGTGCCTGCATGGTGCAGGGGGAGGGCATGGTGCTGCCGTGAGCGGGAGCTCTTCGGACTCTGAGCGTGTGCAGAGGATCAAAGGTGTGCTCTGTCAGCAGCAGCAGGACTTGGGCAGTCAAGGCTCGCTTTCTAGCAAGAAAGCTCTTGTTCTGCCTTTAAAGCAGACTTCCAGGACTGAGGACATTCAGACTGTGTTGGAAGGGTCTGCCTGCTGGGACGGCACGAAGGACCTACCGGTGAGGACACGCACAGTCTCCTCGTATGTTTTCCTAATAGTTACTGTCATTTTAAGGTTTTCGCCATAGGGCATGTGCACTTGCAGAGAGACAGAGAGGGAAAGTGGGAAATCGCCCCCCGGAGAATGGCCACGCTGCGACCCCTTCTCCATGTTCCTCTTGGGGTTTTGGGCACACGTGCAGCCATCGTGCTTTTCAGGCTGCTGGGTCTGGGACTCGAGCTGTGGTCAGCCACAGGAGAGCCCAGTTCCTTGACCACTGCGCCACCTGCTGGCCCCTCATTGTTACGAGCCTCATGTGGAGCAGCCCCTCCTGAGGGCTCTGGCTGCAGTCCCACTGTCTCCTCCACCTTAGGCTTGTCCCGGCAGCTGTGAAATTGAACCGGGTTGCGTGTCAGAGCCCCGCTGCTGTCTCTGACCCGTACCAGGAGCATCACGGGCTCTAGACCTGCTCCTGTCTTGCCGCCACATCCATGCCCGCAGTGCTGTGGGGGCCTTCTGACCCCCTCCTTGGCTTTGCTGGTCGGTCGTTATTAGGGTCACGTGGACCTTATTACACATGGGTTGTGGGTGTGTGCCTCTCACTGTGGTGGTGACCAGGAGGGAGGTGCCTGACGGTCCACTGTGGTCAGTTAGGTTTCTTCTAGCAAAAACTATTTGGAAGCTTACTAAGGGGCAAACAAGAAAGCTGGCCTAATTTAGGGCAAAAAGTGCCACGCATAGCTATTCTTGTTTATCGTGGTTTCTCATTTAAAATTAAAAAACAATATTCAAGGATTATAGACATAAAAATAAAAGACTAGTATAGTTTCTTAAATATTAGGTTGATAGAAAAGGCATGCCTTTTTTTGATATGGTTTTCTGTGTAAAAATGCATCATGACTTTCTGAGGACCCAGAGGGACTGTGTTTGTGGGGTGGCAGACTAACTTGAGTCTCTATCGCAGGCAGTCGGCAGCTGGGAGCTGTGCTTCCCGAGTGGGCAGAAGACGAGACCTGCCCGTCTCCCACAGAGGCACGTCCGCGTCCCAGCCGCTTTCTCGTCTCCGGCCCACTATAAGCAGACGTTCACGTCTTGTCTCATAGGTATGTGGGCTCTCTGGGTTTTGTTGTAATTGAGTGCTGCTAATGTTAAGTAGTACGTTATTTCCTACCCTGAGTAAGTGACACAGTAAGTGAGGGAGCGTAATGTCTGTCTTTTTTTTTCTTTTTTTTTAATTTTGCTATAGGCTGCTTGTGTTCACTGGAGAGAGAGGCGGGGTGGGGGGGAGAGTGAGAAATCACCTTCCAGGGGGGATGGCCATGCTGAAAGCTCTTTTCCGTTCTCCCCTGGGGATTTTGGGCACACATGCACACACACCCGTGTGATTTTCAGGCGGCTGGATCTGGGATTTGAGTCGCAGAGTTGGCTATTTGAAATCCAGTGCTTTAACCTCCACACAAGCAGCCAGCCCAGAGAAAGCGTGCTATTTTACAATGTGGATTGTCATACTAAATTCACTGCTTGAGACTTGTTATTTTCCAGGTGATTTCTTTTGAGACACAAAGGCAAAACTTCTCTTTTAAAACAAATGGCTATTTGGCCAGCCTGTGTTATGGTGGTTACGGTGACTGGACCCCATGTGGCCAGCTGAGTGACTTGAGTCCTAGACTTGGCAGTCTGAAAATGGCGCTGGGTGCACGTGGGCCCAAAATCCCAAAGGAGGGAGAAATGGGGAAGGGATTGTGGAGTGACACCCATGGGAGTACCTCTCACTTTCCCTGTCTGCCTGTCTCTTGCAAGTAGGTGTGCCCGCTACAAGTTAACAAAGAAAGGTGTTAGTGTTATGTTGTAGCTGCGGCTTAAGGCTGTTTGCGAATTTAGCGAGGAACCTGCCCAGTGTGGTACAAACAGGAAGTTACTTTGTATCTAATCCTCAGCTGTATTTATCTTTTTCTGACAGAACATTTAAATATATTGCTGTTTGGTTTGGCACAGAAGTTGTACAAAGCTCTTTCAAAAGTTGACATATCATTTTACACATCCTTGAAAGGAGAGAAATTGACGAATGTAGAAAATAATGTGCCACCCTGCTGTCACGATCAACCTGCAAAGCTCGTCATGGTTAAAAAGGAAGGTCCCAATAAGGTATTGTCCCCACCCCTGCCCTCCCCACTACACACTGGTCTTGTACGAAACTGGGATTCGCACTGCTTTATGTCCCCCCCCAAAGAGTGAGCCTCGATGAGACCCTCCTGGTGAGGTGTTGCTAACTGACACTCAGTAACATTTTACTGGAAGAGTGACCTGCGTTTTGTATACAAGCGGATGGACGGACATCAGCCCTTGGGTTCCTAGGGCCTACTTTCATGTTAGAGAGACCCACGTGGACGAAGACTGCATTTCCTACTATAACGGAGAAGGGACAGGAAGGTGCCCAGTGACAGAGACGAGGGAGGGACGCAGAGATGAGCCTGGAGGAAAGAGGACTGAGGCGAGTCTGCCATGCGGTCCCCTGCAAGTGGCAGACGAGGCGGGGTGGGGGCAAGCACCCGGCCTGATTCCAGGTGCTGCTGGCATAGTCAGAGAGGCCGGGCTGGTGAGTGCCCATCGATGGCATACTCGCTGTCAGACTGCTTTCAGTCGTGACCGCTGCCCGCGCTCTGTATGTCCTTCACGGCGTCATTGTTTGGGTGTGTAGTCTGTATTTAAATTGGGCTGTCAGAGCAAGAATGTATAAATAGTAGTGTGACCCTAAAGGAAAGCCCTGTGCAACCACTGCACGTCTCGGTTTGCTCTTTTTTTTTTTTGAGACAGATTTTTGCTATAGGGCGTGTGTGCTCACTGGAGAGAGACAGGAAGTGAAAAATCACCCCCCAGGGGGATGGCCACATTGCAATCCCTTTTCCTCCATTCTCCTCTCGGGATTTTGGGCATGCACGCACATGCGCCTGGTGTGTTTTTAGCCATCGGGTCCAGGACTCAAACCGCTGTCGACTACATGGGTGTCCAGCAACGTAACCACTATGCCATCTGCTGGTCCTTCGGTTTGGTTAAGATAATTTGATGACATAATTGCATGCTCATATTGTGTTATATGAGTTAGATTACAGAGTAGAAACATTGTTATCTACATTTTGTTTTTTAAAAATATATCTATACATGTGCTTATTCTTTTGTGGATGCTTATGTGTGTGTGTACATTCTTACATGAGAAAGACAGGTGGAAAGAAATAGATGTTGCTTCTAGTTGTTTCTAGGCAGTTTCTTCTTTTAACATTTATTTATTTAATTTTAAGTATCATTATTATTCTTCAGTTTGACCAGAGAGAGAGAGACAGAAAGAGAGAGGGAGAGTGATGCTTCAACCACCATACCACCGGCTGTACCCCAGGTAGTTTCTAGTAGTTGTATGTAATCAACATCAAATCAGAAAACGATGCATTTTCAAATATGCTTTCATTCTCATTATAGTCTTTTGATGCAGAGAAAATTAATAGAAAAGTGGTTTTACATTTTAATTCCAAATTGTATGATGTGTAATTTATTGGACCACGTTAACACCAAGTCATCTTTACAGAAGTCTTGGCAAACAGAATTTAAAAGCAATAGCAAAGTAAAACACTTTTTTCTTTAAATTTTGACATCTCCTCCTCCTCAGGGCCGTCTCTTCTATACATGTGGCAGGGCCAAAGCTGAGCGATGTAAATTTTTCAAATGGTTTGAGGAGCTGACTTCAGGGAGCTCAGCACAGGGAGACTCGCGGCCCAGCCTGGTTCTGACAGACGTCAGGAGTGTCGCCATGTACTTACGGAGTCAGGAGCTACCACTCTACGAGGAGTGCCAGCTTTCGGTGAGGTGCGTCTTCTAGTGCCAGTTAACTGTCGGTACTCCTATCAGAGGACAGCAGCCCTCACAGAGTTGAGTACAGGAAAAAGACCTGAACATGGCGTGCTTCGGGACCCGGAGGAGGCGTGGTGGTTGAGTGTGCTAGACTCCCACGTGGTCGACTGTGGTTTGAGTCCCGGACCTGGTGACTTGGTCTCTTTCTCTCTCTCTCTCGCTCTCTCTCTCTGTCCCACTCTGGTCAAATTTAAATAGAGAAAGAAAGAGAGAGAAGAGAGAGAGAAGGAAGGGAAGAAAAAATAACTTTTTAAAAAAATTGAGTGCTTCAGTCTCTATCATTTTTTTTCCTTTTCTTATTTTATTTTAAATTTATTTATTTTATGTTCATTCATTACATTCATATCATGCTGAGCATGTAACAGCATACCAAATGCGATCTGCCACCCAGAGTACCCTGCATGTTGGCTTAATCGTGCGGGCTATCGCTGACAAGTAATTTTCCGTTTCTGTTTTTAAAGCGGGGCTCAGTCTTTGACGCTGTTGTGGCCCATCCTGAATAGTAAGCGGTGGGAGCACTGCCAGGGTGACGGGCACAATGCCGTTTTCCAGCCATTCTTACATGTGGTCACAGCCGCTCCCCGTAACCCTGGGGGAACTGTCCAACAACCACGGGAATAACTCGCAGTGCCGGCCGGTGGTGCATCATTCACAGTTCACAGGGTGTAACATGCTATCTGGGATTACTCAAAGAACAAATATGACCATTTGCATGGCAACTTACTGAAACGTTTATGGAAGCGTATATGAGGGAACTTCAAAAAATTGATGAGTAATGGAATTAAAGTACGAGTTTATTTTGATGCAAAAAAATTGAAATCCATTGGTGATTTTTTCATGATGTACATTTTCCGTGAACTTTTCAAAGACCTCACCCCGTATATGCCAGCTAGTCTTTTAAGTATTTTGCACGTGTTATTTTCTTTAATTATCATAATAACCTATAAGTTAGGGAATAATGGGGATAAGTGTTTATTCCCTTTTCTCACACGTAAAGATTAGGGTCTCTATCTTTTTTTTTTTTTTTTTTTTTTTGTAAGAACTGTTTTTTGTTGTTGTCATTGTTGGTTTTTGGGGGTTTTTTTGAGAGGTTTTCGTGATAGGGCGTGTGCACTCGCCAGACAGACAGAGAGACAGAAAGCGAGAAATCACCCCCAGGGGGCATGGCCACGCCACAGTCCCTTCTCCATTCTCTTCTTGGGATCTTGGGCATGCACGCACACGCGCCCAGCATGAGTTTTAAGCCACCAGGTCCGGGACGCGAACCGCGGTCGACTACATGGGAGTCCAGGAACATAGCCATCACGTTAACTGCTGGTCCCAAGAACTATTTATTTTTTAAAAAAATTATCATTATTCTTTTTATAAAAGAATTATTTATTTAATTCAATTTATACTTCTTATTACTTTAACTTGACCACAGAGAGACAGAGAAAGAGAGAAAGGGAAAGCAAGAAAGCAAACCATGAGGTCCAGGGCTCAAACTGCAGTCAGCCATGTGGGAATCCAGCGCCTTTAACCACCTTGCCACGTGCCAGCTCCGATGACTATTATTATTTGATCAGAAAGAGAAGGAGGAAGGAGGAAGGGAGGGAAAGATAAGAGAGAGAGAGAGCAAAAAAGTGAGAAAGAAAGCCATCAGGTCTAGGACTCAAACCATGGTCGGCCATGTGGGAGTCCAGCTTCTTAATCACCACGCCACGAGCTGAGTCAGGGTCTCTATCTTTTAAATATTTTTATTAATCTTTTTTTAAAAGTAAAGATAATTTTATGAAGGTTGCTATTTTCTTCACTTGATGGAATAGTGCATTTTATATACATATGTGAAAGTATGTAAACATACACACAGCCCCGGTTCCTTGTATTTCAAACTATAGTAAACTCTTTTTTTTTTTTTTGTCTTTCGCCATAGTGTGTGTGTGCTTGCCAGAGAGACAAAGCTGTGAGACAGAGTGGCAGATCCCCGCCTGGGATGGACGGCCACACCTTAACCTCCCAACCCGCTCGGCTCCACCCCCGCCTGGGATGGACGGCCACACCTTAACCTCTCAACCCGCTCGGCTCCATCCTCCTTCTGGGATTTTGGGCACACATGCTCGGTGTGATTTTCAGACCACCAGATCTGGACTCAGAGTGTGGTCAGCCACATGGCAGTCCAGGGCTTTCACCGCTGTGCTCCCCGATGGCCCCTATTTTAAATTTATTTTAATAATTTGTAATTTAATATTTATATATGTATTTTTAAGAATTATTTAATTTAATTTATTTATTTATTTTAATTTGAGCAGAGAGAGACACACACACAGACACACAGAAAGTGAGAAAGCAAGCTGCTAGGTCCAGGACTTGAACCATGGTTAGCCATGTGGGAGTGTCCAGCACCTTAACCACCATGCCATCTGCTTGTCCCCCATTTTTTTTAAAGAATTTTAAAATTTAATTTTATTCATTCATTTGTTTATTTTAATTTGAGCAGAGAGAGACACACACACAGACACACAGAAAGTGAGAAAGCAAGAATTTAATATATTTTTAAAAAGAATTTTATTTGTTCATACATTCATTCATTTATTTAAGTTTGACTAGAGAGGAACAGAGAAAGAGAGAGAGAGACAGTGAGAAAGCAAGCTGCCAGGTCCGGGACTTGAACTTAGGTCTGCCATATGAGAGTTCAGCACCTTAACTACCACGCCACCTGCTAGCCCCTGTAATGTAATATTAAAATTATTTTTGTATTTTACTTTTTTTTTTTTTTTTTCAGAAAAGGATTTGACTTTCAGAGAAAACAGTATGGCAAACTAAAGAGGTTTCCTTCTGTAAACCTTGAATGTTATAATGAACCAAAAGATAAACTTTATCTTAAGCTGAGTCGGAAGGAAAATTCTTCAATTTATAGTAAAGGTGAGTTGACTTGATCATGCTAGTGAGTTAATCTAGTCTTGTAAGTCCATTCTACACAGTTCTGTACAGTCTTTATATTAAAGAGAATTTTTAAATGATGGTTTAATAGTTCTATGTATTGTAAAGTATTGTATAATGTATTTCAAAAGGCATATTTAAAAATTTTAGGGTTTGGGGACCAGCAGGTGGCATGGCGATTCAGCCTCTGGACACGCCCACATTGCTGACCATGATTTGAGTTCCAGGCCTGGTGGCTTGCTTTCTCACTCTCTCTCTCTCTCTCTCTCTCTCTGGTCAAATTAAAATAAATGAATGAGAAATGAAAAATAAATAATTCATTATAGAACCAATTTAGGGCTTTTAAGTGACCAGCAGGTGGCATAGTGATTAAAGCACTGGACTCCTATATGGTCGACCACAGTTCGAGTCCGTGAGCTGGACTCCTACATGGTTGACCGCAGTTCGAGTCTGTGAGCTGGCAGCTTGAAATACATACCTGGTATGTGTGCAGGTGTGCCCAAGATCCCGAGAAGAGAGCGGAGGAGAAGGGATTGCATCATGGCCATCCCTTGGGGGGCCAAGGGGGCTCCTCACTTTCTGTCTCTCTGGTGAGCACATGCATCCTATAGCAAAAATACCTTTAAAAAAATTAGAAATTTTCAAATCTTTAAAATAAAAATTTTAAAATTTTGATAGCTTTTAAAAAGCTATCAAAAGGATACCAAAACCTGTGTTTATGAAGTCACATTAAGTTCTTTTTCGTTTTTTCTTTAGAGAGAGATGTTTGCTATAATGCTCATGTGCTCACCAGAGAGGCAGAGAGACAGGAAGCAAGAAATCCCCCCAGGGGGAATGGCCACCACACAATCCCTTCTCCTCCATTCTCGTCTCGGGACCTTGGGCACGCACGCACACGCACCTGGTGTGAATTTTTAAACCACCAGATCTGGGGCTCGAAGTGCAGTCTACTACACGGGAGTCCAGCGATGTAACCATTACACTTCTGCTGGTCTCTGAGTTCTTGTCCTTAAATATGTCAGTTTGTACTCAGTATTGAAAATAAATGTAAGAATGCAGTGAGTTTACTGATACTTCTTCATTGTCTGCACATCAGGGCTCAGATTTATATTTGGAAATGAAACATTTATTTATTTACTTTTGTTTTCTTGCCATAGGGTGTGTGGGCTTACCAGATAGAGAGAGATAGAAAGAGGGAAAGTGAGAAATCACCCTCCCGGGGGGATGGCCATGTCACAACCCCTTCTCTGTTTTTCTCTCGGAATTCTGCGCACGCATGCACACACATGTGGAGTGATCGTCAGGCCATCACATCTGGGACTCTCATGTGGTCAGCCATGTGAGTCCTGTGCCTCAACTAACCCACCTTTGGGCCCCAACCTGGCATGTTTTTCAGGCTGCTCTGTCCAGGACTCGAACCTTGGAGTCAGCCATGTGGGGATGCAGCACCCCAACTACCATGCCAGCCGCTGGCCTTAATTTTTTATTCGAGACTTTTATTGTGCATTTTTTCCCTGCACATTTGACTTGTGGTATTAATTCAGTGAGGAAGAAGAAATCGTAATGTCCCTTTAAGGAGCTTCCGTACAGGAACTCTACGTGTAAAGCATGTGTACGTATAAGACAGTCCTAAAGTAGGTTTTTGAGATTGGAATTTGAAATAGTTTTTAAAAAATTGAGTAATACATAAATGTATGCAACAAAAAGTCAAGGTAGAAAGTAACACGCACAGTTAAAAGTGGGTCTTCTAACACTTTGCGTTTCCAGCGCCCACCTGTCGTCGTGGGGATGCAGAGGTGAATCGTTAGGCTTAGACGTGTCCAGTCTCGAAGCGCCCTTAGTCTCGTGACTGTATTCGTCACTCTGTTCTCCCATTCCTATCTGCAGCAAGGAAAGTAAGAGGACGCCAGCCAGGCGGGCTTTGTCCACTCACTGGGTGATGTGGGCCTGAAGGCCTTGGTCACTGCCCAGTTCAGCTCACCTTCCAGAGCTCCCACACCTTGGTCGTGTTCAGACCTCGCTCCTGCTCCTCACCGGGGCATCTCGGTTCCCAAGACTCACCTGCCGTCACTAGGTGGTTGCAAGGGCGAGGAAGGCCCGCTTTCCTGAAAGGGGCTTGGGGTGGACGGTCAGAACGTTGCCGTTGGTGATTCACTCTCAGCTTGCTGGGACTGCCGGGCCTCGAACTCTGTGTGCTGCCGTGGAGAAGAGTTTTGTGTCCCCACGTAGCAGAAGGTGGGAGACTCCATGCGTTCCATAAGGGCACCTAGGCCTGTTGGCTCCCCCCGTGGCGTACCACTCTGAAGGCCCCTGCCACGTGGTACACTGGCTCCTGCCCTCAGCAGGACTGTGCGGCCCACAGGTGCTCAGCTCTCTGCTTTACGCTCTGAGCTCCTGGTGCCATGTCCAAAAACTAATTGCCAAGATCGAATCCTATATCCGATAAGGGCTAATAACTGAATATAAAAGGGACTTAAAGCAGCTCAGTGTCGGGACCAGCAGTCGGTGTCATGGTTATGTCACTGGACTCCCATGTAGTCGACCGCAGTTCAAGTCCCAGGCCCGGCGGCTTAAATTCATGCTGGGTGCATGTGCGTGCGTGCCCAAGATCTGAAGAGAGTGGAGGAGAAGGGATTGCAGCATGGCCATCCCCCCTGGGGGGTGATCTTTCTCTTTCTGTCTCTTTCTGGCAAGTGCACGCACCCTATAGCAAAAACCTCTCCCCCCTGCCCCCCCCCAAAAAAAACCCCAAAAAACAGCTCAGTGTCAAGAAAATAACCCTTGCTGAGCCAGCAGTTCTGTGTAGGCTGAGGCAGCTGGGTCCTACATGGCTGACCGTGGTTTGAGTCCTGGACTTGGTGGCTTGCTTTCTTGCTTTCCCTTTCTCTGTCTCTGTCTCTGGTCAAAGTAAAAAATAATAATAGCAAATGTAATTAAAAAAAATAATTCTTGAAAGAAAGAAAGAAAGGGGACAGCAGATGGCACGGTGGTTAAGGTGGCTGGACTCCCACCTGGCCTTGGTTTGAGTCTTGGAATGGGCAGCTTGCTTTCTCACTTTCCTTTTCTCTCTGGTTAACTCAAAATAAATAAATAAATAAAGTAGTGACAATTAATAAAATTAAATAAAATAATTGTTTTTTAAAAAGGAAAGCCAGCCAGTCACACCAGGAGCATGTGCGTGTGTGTGCCTGAGATCCCAGGAGGAGGGAGCAGGAGGGGTTGCCCTCTGTCTGTCTCTCTCTGGTGAGTGCAAGCGCTCTGTGGCAAAAATCTTAAAAAAAAAAAAAAAAAAGGAAGGACAAGGGGGCCTGCGTGTGGCAAGGTGGTCGATGTAGCTGTATCTTGCGTGGTGAAGCACGGCAAGTCCTGGGCTCAACAGCTTGGGAACACTGCCAGGCGTGTGCCCAGACCCTGCAGGGACATGGAGGAGAGGGATGTGCAGGGTGGCCGCCGCCCTAGGGGGTGCTTTGTCACTTCCCCTTTCTGCAACTCTGTCTCTGAAGATTGCATGTGTCCTCTAGCAAATTTTAAAAATAAATTAACAAAAAATGGGCAAAGGACCTCAGTAATCATTTTTCAAAAAAGACACACAAATGGCCAACACCTTTAAGAACAGGTGCTTGCACCCAGCAGGTGGTGTAATGGCTACGTCACTGACTCCTACGTAATGGGCCCCAGTTCAAGTCCTGGACCAGCAGCTTAAAACTCATGCCAGGTGCGTGTGTGTGCATGCCCCAATCCTGAGAAGACAGAGGAGACCGAATCATGCATGCCTTCTTCCCTGCAGGGGTGATTTCTTGCTTTCTGTCTCTGTCTCTCTGGTGAATGTATGCGGCCTATAGCAAAAATCTCTTTAAAAAACTGAAAAAAAAGAAAAGAAAAGGTGGTCAACATCATTAAGTCATCAGGGAAATGCCAATTAAAACTACAAATGATGGCTGATCCTGTGGCCTAGGGGTTAAGGGAGCCTTACCCCACATGGCTGATTGTGTGGTTTGAATCCTGGCCCCAGCGGCTTGGATACATGCTGGCACATGCGCCGGTGTGCCTTCAGTCCTGGCAGGACGGAGCGTGGAGGAGAGGGGTCGTGGGGTGGCCACGCACCCTTGGGACAGATCTCTTCCTCTCCGTGTCTCTCAGGTTCTCTATGTTTGCCTGCCCTCTGGCAGATTAAAACCAAAAACAAAACCAGAAATGAGGGACCAGCAGTTCGTGTAATGGCTGTCGCTGGACTCCCAGGTAGTCGACCACGGTTCAAGTCCCAGACCCAGTGGCTTAAACTCATGCCGCGCGCATGTGTGCACGTGCTCAAGATCCCGAGAGGAGAATGGAGGAGAAGGGATTGTGGCGTGACCATCCCCCCTGGAGGGTGATTTTTCACTTTCTGTCTCTCTCTGTCCCTCTATCTTCCTGGCGAGCGCTCGTGCCCTATAGCAAAAACCTCTCAAAAAAATAAATGAGATACCACTCCAGACCTGTTAGAATGGATGATGGCGGGAAGAAGAAAGATGACAAGTGTTGTCCAGGACGTAGAGGAGGGGCGTCCTTGTGCACCGACGGCTGTAACGGCCGTGGGCACACTCGTGGGGCAGTGTGGAGGGAGACGGCAGAGCTGCCACGTGCTCTAGCACTCTGTCCATACCCTGTGATGTGCGTCGGTGCTTGGAGGTGTTCACACACTTCTGTCTGTCCTGGCATTAGTCGGGATGTGGAGACAGAGTAAGTGTCTTTCTGTGGATAAGTGGAATAATTGTGTGCGCATACACACGCACAGGCGCACACACTGGGACAGTGCTCATTGTTAGAAAGGAGGAAGTCCCGCTGCAGGCAGCAGCATGCATGAACTTGGAGCACTTACACTTGGTGAGGCAAACCAGACGGCAGATGCTGGCAGGCTGCGTCCGTGTGCGGAATCTGAAACCAGCTGAGTGCAGGAAATCGGGGTAGGGAGGAGGTTGCCAAGGGCTGGACAGCCTGGGAGTGGAGAGGGTCAGTCGGAGGGTCGATGCAGGGCATGTGCACTCACTAGAGAGGGGGAGAGAGGGGGAGGTTGCGTTCACAGCACGGCCAGCTATGGCTGTTAATGGTGCTAACATCGTGTACTTGGGTACCGGGGCGGATCCTCAGTGAAAGGGGAGGTGACCGTCAGCGGCGGGTGCACTTGTCATTGACGGGAGCCACCGCCTGAGGAGTCCTTACCAGAGCACCACTCGAGCTCAGCACACACAGCTGCTCATTGTGAGCCACACCTCAGTCCAGCTGGGACAACGCTCTTTTCAGATGACCTCTGGGTGGTCTCAAAAACCCTGGACTTTGGGCTGGACACCTTCATTGCATGCAGTGCCTTCTTCGGACCGTCCTCTGTCAACGAGGTGGAGCTGCTGCCTCTGAGAGGCTACTCTCCTTCTGCCTGGCCCACCAATGGTAAGTCTCACTGTGGCCCCGAACTTTGTGCAAGGACGCTGGACCTAGGGCGCCCTGAGAGCAATTCTGGGGGGCTTGCTCGATTGCAGCCTGCAAAAGGCACCACCATCACTCCTACTGTTGGGTCTGCCTGTCCTGAAAACGTGAGTGGAGGCTGATATGTAAAGATTTCTAATTCTATTTCGAGACCATGGAGCTAACAATATGAAATCTTGAACCATAATATTTACTTAAAGTTGAATTTTACACGGCATATACCTGATTTTAAAAATACAATCATGAGGGAACCAGCAGTTAGCGTAATGGCTATGTCACTGGACTCCCACGTAGTCGACCGTGGTTCGTGTCCCGGACTGGTGGCTTAAAACTCACGCCGGGCGCGTGTGCGTGCGTGCCCAAGATCCCGAGAGGAGAATGGAGGAGAAGGGATTGCGGCGTGACCATCCCCCCTGTGGGGTGATTTCTCGCTTTCTGTTTCTATGTCTCTCTCTGTCTGTCTGGCGAGCGCACGCGCCCTACAGTGAAAATCTCTCCCCAAAAAAAAAAAAAATACAATCATGAAACACATAATGAGAATTTTCTCAGTTCCTATATCAAAATCTAATACTTAACATATTTTTAATGTATATTTATTTTTTAAATTATTTTACTTATTTATTTAAAGAATTGTTTTTACTTAACTTTATTTATTTACTTACTTATTTTATAATTTGACCAGGGAGGGACAGAGAGAAGAAAGAAAGAGAGAAAGTGAGAAAGCAAGTCACCAGGTCTGGAACTCAAACTGTGGTGTCAGCCATGTGGGAATGCAACACTTGAACCACCATGCCACCTTTTGGTCCCCCTTTTATTTTTAATTTGCTACAGGGCATGTGCACTCACTAGAGAGGGAGAGAGAGAGAAAGTAAGAAAGCAGGCTGTCAGGTCTGGACTCGAACCACAGTTGGTCATGTGCTTTAGTTGGAGTCCAGCGCCTTAACCACCACACCACCTACTGGCTCTGCTTTAAAAGTTTCTCATCATCTGAGTTGAGAAATTTTTACTTGGGCAGTAGACTATCAGCCTTCTTATTTTGAAAAATAATTTGTAAGAGGGCATATGCACTTTCCAGAGGGACACAGAGAAATAGGGAACTGAGACCATACTCCGGTAGGGTACGGTCAGACCACAATCCCTTCTCCATTTCTCCTTTTGGGATTTTAGGCATGCATGCACATGCGCCTGGTGTGTTTGTCAGGACACCAGAGACAGCAGTGGGGACTGGAGTTGCACTTGGCTGTGTGGGGTCTGGCCGCCTTAACCACTGTGCCACTAACCAGCTCGTCTCCCCTCTTAATGACCCTTCAGTAGCATGGGTCCCCTACCCGTTCTGTGGATCTGTGGGATTCTTTTTATTTTTCAGTCTGTGGAATTGTTTCTGATGGTCGAATTTGGTGCATAACTAAAGACACAGAGTTTAAAGGCCAATTTCATACATGTGTTTCTTTCTTTTATAGATGTTTTTGCCATAGGGCTGTACACTAGCCAGAGAGAGAGAGACAAAGACAGTAAGTGGGCAGATGAGAAATCAGCCCTGGGGGATAGCCACGCTGCCATCCTTTCTCCTCCATTCTGCTCCTGGGATCTTGGGCATGCACACACATGTGCCTGGTGTGATTTTTCCGGCCACGAGGCCCAGGAGTCGAACCTGGTCAGCCATGTGGGAGTCCTGCGATGTAACCACTGCACCCGCTGCCGGTCCCCATGTTACTCGTCTGTGACCTCCCTTTCATCACTGGTGCATGTAACATGGCTCTGGCGGTGTGCTCTGCTCATCCGAGCGCTTGTCTTCTGCAGCAGTGGCGCACGCACTGCTGGTGGGTAACGCCAGCACAGAGCTGACTGCCTTGAGGAACCTCCGGGACCACTTCACTCCAGCCACTCTCCCTTTGGTGCCGCACCTGCTGTCAATGTGAGTTATTCTTTACCTCCGGTTGTTAGTGTTACAAAATGGGAGCTAAACGTGAGTGTGACAGTGTGGCCAAGGCCCTGCATAGTGTTACCCATGGAACCTCAGGCCGCCTTTCAGACTCGGAGACTGCCGTCTTTCAGTAGTTAAAGGAAAAGACAAAGGAGAGTCTGCGTCGTGTTCCACCCTTCGACCTATCTTCCCGTTTATTAGTTAGTACCCTTTGGATTGATAAATGTTACTATAAATTTTTTCCCTTTGTAGAGGAATTGTTTTTTAAGATAATCTTTTTTAAAAAGAATTAGTTATTTTACTTATTATCATTTTTCAACCTGACCAGAGAAGGACAGAGGGAAAGTGAGAAAGCAACCCACCAGGACTGGGACCCGAATCATGGTTGACCAGGCGGGAGTTCAGTACCTCAACCACCACACCACTGCCAGCCCAGAGGAAGAGTTTCTTAAAGATCATTATGTGTTGATTTTATATTTTTATTCATAAATTTTGTTTAGGTTTTTGCCATAGGCTGCATGTGCTTGCCAGAGAGACAGAGGGAAGTAAAAAAATCACCCCCAGGAGGGATGGCCACACCATAATTGCTTGTCCTCTATTTTCCTCTGGGGATTTTAGGCACACACACACACACACACACACACACACACACACATGCACCTGATGTGAGTTTCAAGCCTCCAGGTCCAGGATTTGAGCGGTCATTGGCTATGTAGGAGTCCAGCACCTTAACCACCATGTCTCCGAATGTCCCCGATTCATCTATATTTTTATAGCACAAATTATTCAACATTTTAAAAGTCACTTTGCAGCTTAAATCTGGTATGTATATTGATACCAATTTTATTCTTGACATTACGTAAATTTCATTTTTTTATAATTATTTTATTTTATTTATTCATTAATTTATTAATTTGACCAGAGAGAGACAGAGGGTGAGAGTGAGAGAGAGAAGAAGTGAGAAAGCAAGCCACCAGATTCAGGACTCCAACCCTGGTCGGTCATGTGGGAGTGTCCAGCACCTTAACCACCACACCACCTGCTGGTCCTAACTCTCATTTTTAGTATCTCAAGCATCAGGTCCCTTTTAAAAATATTGGAAGTGATATTATATCAAATGCACAAAATGACCAGAAAAAACTCATTTTCCAAGTTGAAATATCTGTAGTGTTTTGTTTTCTCACAACAACGAAATCTTGTGTTAAAAAAATCCTTATATTTCCATTATGCTATTTATCCAACTTAAAATTAACTTGCTCTCTGAGAAGAAGAAATGAAATCAGCTGGTGTGGTTTTTCCTTCCTGGAGGCCAGTCAGTACCGGGTCGGTGCTGTGTGGTGCAGCTCGGGCTTCAGTCAGCGCACTGCCTCGTGGCGAGGCGTGGGGGAAGAAAGTATTAGGAGTGTTTCGCTCTGCAGTCCGTGTGGAAGCAGCTGCTCCCAGAGAACGGCGCATTTGTTGGAAAGCACGGTGCCAGTGCACACGGGGTCACACCTGCTAGTTCTCCCCCTTCCCATCCTCCTCTGTTCTTGGTGCGATCCATGCTCATTGCCCATAGAAAATGCTCTCTGGGGCCAGCAGGTGGCATGCTGGTTAAGGCACCGGATTCCCACAGGGCCGACTGCAGTGTGGGTCTCAGACCTGGAGGCTTAAGATCATGTTGGGCACATGTGTTTGCCTGCGTGTGTGTGCCTGCATGTGTGTGCACATGTGTGCATGCCCAGAACCCCTAGCAGAGACTGGAGGAGAAGGGACTGAGGTGTAGCCATCCCCCCTGGGGGTGATCTCTCACATTCCTCTCTCTGCCTGTCTTCAGTGAGTGAACGTGCCCTAAGTCAAAATCCTGAAAAATAAATCAGCAGTCTTTGTGTGTCCTGTGAAGCGAAGGCTGTTATGAATAGGTACTCAGCTATTTCACAAGCCCCTACTTTCTTCTATTTTGTTTGCTGCCTGGTTACTAGGTCTTCATCAGCTATCGTCAGCAACAAGAGAGTCGATAAGAGAAAATTTATCCCCCCTGCCTCTGCAAACTTCCACACGAAACGCCAACTGCTCGGCCGCGGGGCAGCGGTGCAGTTAGCGACAGAGTTCATCCAGGCGCACGGGCTAAACCAGGGCCAAGCTGCAAGTCTGACTCGGATAGCTCAAATGATGGCGCCCTGCGAGAGTGCGGGGGGGCAGGCGCCTCCGCCCCCCATCACCATCATACACGGTAAGATGCAGCCAGTGGATGCTCCCACGTCAGCCCAGACTTGGGGTCACCCTGAGATGCTCTGCGAGAGGGCACTCCTGCTTCAGCAGGGCCTTCACGACTCCCAACATCAAACGTCATCTTTGGGTGACCCATCCTTGCCTTCCTTTTTTTTTTTTTTTTTTTTTAATTTTAAAGAGAGATTCTTGCTTTCTGGTGCCTGCACTTGCTAGAGAGACAGAGATAAAAAGTAAGGACTCACCCAGGGGGGATGGCCACACTGGAGTTCCCTTCTCCTCTGGGGATCTTGGGCACGCACACGCATGCGCTTGGCGTGAGTTTAAGCTGCCGGGTCCGGGACTCGAGCTGCAGTCAACGCCATGGGAGTACAGTGATGGGACCAGTACGCCCTCTGCTAGTCCCCTCCTTTCTCTTGACCCTGCCCCTAGACGAGGAAATGGAGCTCCTGACAGAAACTCCCTTCAGGACTCTGCTGCCCTGCAATGTCCCCAAGTTCCAACCTACCTTCCCTCTTGTAGGAGTCTCCCTCTGCTGCCTCTACCCACCGCACCCTGCTATGTGCTATGCGCTGTGCCCTCTGTGCTGTTGTGCTGTGTGTTGTGTGCTCTGTGCTCTGTGCTCTGTGCTCTGCTGTGCACTCTGTGCTGTGCGCTGTGTGGAGTGTGCTCTGTGCTGTGTGCTCTGTGCTGTGTGCTCTGCACTCTGTGCTGTGTGCTCTGCTGTGCACTCTGTGCTGTGTGCTGTGCGCTGTGTGGAGTGTGCTGTGTGGAGGACTCACCACAGCCCCATGCTGGAAAGCCTCTGTGGCGTACTTTGCCCAGACCAGCTGCGTCCCCGCATCAGTGAGCTCCTCGCAGCCCCCTGGCCGCCCGATCAGGCCTTGCTCACACCTCCCTTCCTTCGGCCTCAGGGGAAGAGTATGGGCTCAAGAGCTGGATCCCGAATCCACTCCCGGCTCTCACCTTTAATTCCTATCTGTAAAACGGGCTGGTGACAGCCTCTGCCTCCTAGGGCTCTGGTCAGCCAGTGTGCGTAGGCTGAGGGCTCAGCACTCAGTGAGGCCAGCGCCCGGCCCTATTACGGCCACCTCCCATGGCCTTCCTGTCGACTGGCTTTACCTTTCTCCATGTCACATGAGCCGAGTGATCGCGTCACTCCCTTTGCTTAGAGCCCTTCAGGGACTTCTTTGCCTTTGGCATGATCGTTCGGGCTAGCCCTATGGCCTAGTGGTTGGGGGCCAGACCCGTGGGCGACCACACGGCTCTAGTTCTGGCCCCTGCAGCTGAAAACGCACAGGCTTGTGTGTGCCCCGAGTCGTGACAGGGTGGCGAGATGGAGTGGGTGCGGCGTGCCCATGTCCCACTGGCGGTGCTTCTGCTTTCTCCGTCTCTCTGTCTCTTACTCTGGTGAATTCAAGTGGCTCCTGAGGAAAAAAAAAAAGAGTTCTTCCTTAGGCACGGTGCGCCGAGTTCCGTGGACCGCCCTGTCCCTACCTCGTCGGCCTTCGCCCGGCTGCTAGCAGTGAGCATGTAGAGCTGAAGTCCTGGGCTAGCTGGTGGCCGGGTGTTGAAGGTGCTGGATCCCACATGGCCAGCTTCGCAGCTCGAATTCCAGAGCAGCTGCTTGAGAGACACGTGGGGTGTGTGTGCCTACATGCCCCAAATCCCAAGGAGAGAGTTAGGAGAAGGGACTGTGACATGACCATCCCCTCCGGGGTACCTTCTCACTCTTCCTGCCTCTCTCGAGCAAGTGCAAACTGTCTCTGGCAAATTAAAACACAGAACATCAGGGGCAGGCAGGTGGCATGGTGGTTAAAGTGCTGGACTCCCATGTGGCCAACCGTGGTTCGAGTCTCAGACCTGGTGGCTTGCTCTCTCGCTTCCTCTCTCTCTCTCTTTCTCCTTCTCCTCTCAAATTAAAAAATAATGATAACAAGTAAAAATAAATTAATATTAAAAAAGAAAGAAAGAAACACAGACCGTGAGGTCCTCTGAACAGCTGTGTCTCGTCCTGCCTCTGCCCACGCTGGCCTTCCCTGGTGCAGCCTGGGCACCTCGTCCTGGAAGACGTTGTCCTGTCCCCTCGGACATGTAGGAAGCATCCCCTCTGCCAGAGCGACAGGCTCCCCGTCCATCCCCTTGACGTTGCCCCCACGCTGTCGTGCCTTCACCTGGCGTCTGCGTGTTACGTAACGCGGTCTCCCTGAAGTGGAGCATTCTGATTGTCTGTCTGTCTGTCGTCTGTGCGCCCACCTAGTGAGCACTCAGTCTCTTTTGAACAAATTAATTAGTTAAATATAAAGGAGAGACAGATGGAGGAATTAATTCTTGTGCTTTTGGAAATTTATGGTGTCGCCTTTATTTTTTCCCTTTCCCTTAAAATGATCAGGCGTTTTTGGAGCAGGGAAGAGTTACCTCCTGGCAGTGGCAGTCCTGTTCCTTGTGCAGCTTTTCGAGATGAGTGAAATGCCTACAGTGGGGAATGCGAGGCCGTGGAAAGTCCTGATTTCCTCTTCCACAAACGTGGCCGTCGACAGAGTCCTGTGTGGGTAGGTGACAGTGAGCCCGAGAAGTTGCGTGCAGCCGTGCTGAGACACAGGCCCCACCCCCACTGCTGAGGGTCCCTGCGCGTTCTTGCTGGTGTCAGAGTGCAAGGCCTTGTCTTCAGCCCAGCGGCCAACATGACAAGCTAACGAGTGTGTAAGCAGGATACATCGCCGGGATACACCCAGGCCTCACAGCTTGGGCACAGGGATACTTTCGTCAAGTTCAAGTCCCGCCAAGAACATAGGGCTCGAGGTGTCTTGCAGAGTCCCTCCAGGACCTAAGCTTCGCTGCTGGGTGCCAGGCGCCAGGCCTGACCAGTCTTACCGAGGCGTCTCAGGGCTGCGTTCACCACAGGCAGCGTGCACTGATGAGGCAGGGCCTCCTTCCAGGACAGAAGGCTGCCCCTGTGACCGTGGTGGCCCGTTCGCCTCCGCTGCCTGTCCTACAGCCCCACCCATGGCCTGTGCCGCGGCCACCTGACCTCCCCTCCACCGCGGTGAGGGCCAGAGGGACCCAGGGCAGGCACTCCCATGCTCACGCTGCTTCCTGGGGGCGGGGGCCCTGAGTCTGGCCCAGCAGTGCTTGGGAGGGGCAAGAGCGAACCCCCCTGTTCTCCGGGGATGCTATAAACATGCAGAAATTGAAATCTGCTCATGGGTTGGCCCTGGCTCAGCGCTCCCCGAGAACCTGGGAGTTACTGAGACAGCCGTCCTTGAGTCCCGCGGCCCTTCTGTTCCCACGTCGAGGCGGCAGGTGTCCTGGAGGGGGAGTGCTCGGTGAGTCCCGACTCCGGCCTAGCACAGAGCTAGAGCTGAGATTCGGGGTGGGCAGGCTCAGTGAGGGCCCTGTCCAGAAAGTCCCCCCAGCTGATGTGCCGCGAGGGTGGCCCAAGTCCGGGTACAGACAGACCTGCTCGGTTTGAAGACGCTGCTCTGCACCAACCTCCGTGGCCTCTCCAGCTCCTCCTAGGCGGCCGAGCCCCATCTCCGAGTCGGACATGCAGGTCTCAGTGACAGCGTGGCATCTTCCCAGTCTGTCCCTGCGTGCGCCACGTGGGGGCTGTCGCTTCTCCTGCGACGTCTTTGGAGGAGTTTCATTTGTGATGAATACTCGCAGTGACTCCTTGACGAGCACAGCCCCCGAGATAGACACACACACATGAGTGTCAGTGTGTGAGGAAGCCCCCAGCTACGCTACGTTGGCTTATTTGAGTTTAGGTATTTCACGAAGTAACTAAGATAAACTGTGGCACAAAATTAATTTTAATAACATAAATAGTATATGAAACTTTGTCCTACAGTCTGTTTTCTAAATGACCAGAATCTATTTTCTATTGTTTTCTTTAAAGACTTCTCAGTCTCGGATTTGAAAAGTTTGTCAGAGTTGGGAGTGTTAGGAAGATTGCCAAGCCTGTTTTACCTTACAGGTAAGAATGTCGAATGTAGAAGTCAGAATGTTCGGGGAGAAGCCTGGTAATTTTACGTAACACTTACCTGAAATGTGGGTTTTGAAGAAAAGCTGAAAAAGCCTTATCTTTTCTTGATTAACTTGGAAAGATCTGTATTTTGGGTGTTTTTCTGATGCTATAAAAAATGAAATATGGAGGGAATGTTCTCTGTTTAAGAATCATTTTAGTTATTATTATATGCGTTTGTTTATTTTGCTACAGGGCATATATGCTCACCAGCTAGAGACAGAGAGAGAGACAAATGTCAGATCTGGGACTCGAGCCACCGTCGGCCTCGTGGGAGTCCAGCTCCCCACCCACCGAGCCGCCTGCCAGCCCTGAGGGTGTTCTCGTGTCCCCACCCTTTAGCTTGCACGCCGGCTCAGAGAACGACAGTGAGCCTCTGAAAGAACTGCAGGCCCTGCTGAAGGAAGAGCTGTCGGCCGCGGACAGAGCCTGTGTGCGCAGGAGCATGGAGCAGCACAGGCTGGGGGCCAGCAGGGCCCTGCTGAGGCAGGTATGCGGGGCGGCTGCGTGGAAGAGAGAGGAGAACGTGTCCCTTAGGAGAAGCAGACGGCCGTGAGCTGAGGTGCGGCGCTCGCGGGCACGCGTTCTGTTTGTCTCACCGCGTCCTTCGGTCTGAGCAGACCCAGCCCCAGAGGACTGAGTCTGCCCTCCTCTTGCCCCCACTCGCACTCCTTCTCATAGGCTTGAAGAGGAGAAGGCAGAGGGGATATTTCCTCACAAGTGAAATGAAATTGGTTATATTCTAGGAGAACTAGAGAAAGAAGAGAACTGACCTTGGACAAAATACCCAGGGACATTTGTCTCTGCTGCTCTGCTGTTTGAATCTCAGCAATGTAATAGTGAATTAAAAGACCATATGATATTTTTTTTAAAGAATTATTTAAGGGAACCAGCAGTTAGCATAATGGCTATGTCACTGGATTCCCACGTAGTCGACCGCAGTTCGCATCCCGGACCCAGTGGCTTAAAACTCACGCCGGGTGCGCGGGACTCGAACCATGTTCGACTACATGGGAGTCCAGCGACACAGCCCTTACTCCACTTGCTGGTCCCAAATTTCTAATAATGCACAGGACAGAGAAAATAGCTAATATATTTCAGCCATTGCTATTATATTGGTATTATTTGCCTTTAAAAAGAATTATTTATTTAATTCCATTTGTTATTATTTTTTTATTTGACCAGAGAGAAAGAGAAAGGGAAAGCAAGAAAGCAAGCCGCCAGGTCCAGGACTTGAACCGTGGTCAGCCACGTGGGAATCCAGCACCTTTATCCGCCACGTTAGGGGCCAGCCGATGGCACGGTGGTTACAGCACTAGACCACCACTTGGCCAACTGCGGTTCAAACCCCAAACTTAGAGGCTTGCTTTCTCACTCTCTCTCTGTCTCAGTCTTTCTCTGGTCAAATTAAAATAATAGTAATAGGGCCAACAGGTGGCATGGTGGTTAAAGGTACTGGACTCCTACGTGGCTGACCACGGTTTGAGTCCCAGACCTGGGTATTGAGCCCCACCCCTACATGGTCCCAGCCCCAGAGCAGGGTCTGAGCAGCACGTGCCACTGACTGGGCCTGGGTTAGCTATATTTACCTTTGTTTTTGAAGTTTCTGCCATAGTGCATGTGTGCTCGCCAGAGACAGACAGTGGGAGGGAAAGTGAGAAGTCACGCCGCGATCCCTGCTCCGTCCTCCTCCATCCTGGGACGTGTGCACACACGCAGCCGGCATGCTTCTCAGGCTGCCAGGTCTTGGGACGTGAACCACGGTCAGCCGTTGAGAAGGCCGGTGCCTTAGCCACCACGCCACCCACTGGCCTGCTGTCCTCTCCTTCTTTAGTAGACAAGAAGAGACGGTGCTCGGAGCTTAGCAAAAGCAGGTCGGTCACACGCGGCGTGGGCAGGAGGAGGGCTGCAGCCTGTGCTGAGCGACGCCCTAGCCCCCTGCGCTCAGCCCGCCAGTCTGTGTGGGCGCGCCCTCTTGCTCTCTTTCGGAAGTTGTGGCTAACAGAAGTTGCGCTGCCGTGTAGGTCCGTGTCGTCGGAGTCACCTGTGCGGCCTGTGCCTTCCCGTGCATGCGTGACCTCGCCTTCCCGGTGGTGCTGCTGGACGAGTGCAGCCAGGTCACGGAGCCCACCTCTCTCCTGCCCATTGCCAGGTGACTGCAGGGCGCGTCCCAGTTCAGGTCCCTGTCAGACTCACGGTTTCTCGCGAAAACTCTTACCAATTCAGGTCTAGCCTGATTTTTTAAAACCTTGTCAGACCGCGTGTGGGTTTGCCACGGGAGAGGAGCAGGCCGCCCTGTCCCATGGGACGTCACACAGCCTTGTCTTCTCCTTCCCCTTCCTTTCTGGACTTTGGGCATTTTTCAGGCCACCAGGTCTGGGGTTTCGACTGCAGGGGGCCATGTGGGTCCCGCTGCCTTGAAGAGATCACAGGCTAGCTCCTACGCTGCTTTAGAAAGAATGCTGAGGAAACGGGAGGCTGCCTTCGGAATTTGGCTGGGGCAGTTTGGACGTCGGGATGGCGTAGCCCTTGGCCGTGACAGCCTGGCTCCCGGCTTCTGCTGGGGCCTTGCGTGTCGAAGCTGGAGATGTAAGTCCCAGCTCGAAGCCTCATCCCGCAGGGTCTGCTTCACCCTCCCCCCCTCATTGTCAGCCTGGCGTTCAGGGTCGGAGAGTAGATTTTAGCCAATGAGAGAATATCGGATCTATAAAGAAAACTGTGGAAATGAGCACCTTCTCCTAAAGCTACAAGACTGCGGTGGGTTCTGAGCTCTCCCTGCCTGCCGGATGTGGTGTCTCTGAAACCTGCCTGCTCCAGGGATTCCGCAGGGAGTGGGGCTGCTGGCTGTAGCACCCGTGCTAACACGGGAACAGGCGGCACCCGTGCTAACACGGGAACAGGTGGCACACTTGCCAGCATGGGACGGGGCAGGGAAGGTTAGCAAATCGTGGAGGGGGTTTCAGGCGGGCACTCAGGCTGGGCAGCCCTGGCTGGGTCTTCAGGTGGAGGGGAGAGGGTACAGGGGCAG